AAACTTTCCGATTCTGCGGTCCAAGATTGGTACAAAAAATGTCATATTAACAAAAAAGGTAAATCATTAGAATCGTTAGAATATGCAGCGGATAAGAGATTAAAGGAGGAGTCTATATCTAATCTTTTTTTTTCAGATACCTCCCTCCCCCTTCAGCCAAAACGTCCGGTAGGTTCAAAACCGTAGAATTATTTTCTACGGTTAAAACTGGGCCGGGCCTTGGCTGGAGGTAGAGGGATCTATAACCTACAGCTATCTTCCTGGACTGGAGTGAAGAGTAAAGATTAGCTTTATTCTTCACCCCAGTCCAGAGGCTGTAGGTTGAAGATCCCTCGGCAGCCGGGCCCGGCCTGCTCTGCAATGCTTCACCTCCACGTGGTGCAGAGTGGTAACATCTATTATATAGATGGCTAACGAAGCAATCCTCAAGATATGAAAAGTAAAATGAAAAATTTCAAAACATATCATTTACAATTTATAATTTTGTTTAATTCTCTAATGATAATTTTTTATTGGAATGATTTCTGTGATATTCTGGCTGAAGCATGTTCTCTTACATTATATTGCATACCATTAAACTCATATTATATTAAGTGATACAACGATTTCCCTGTATGAGACATATAGCAATTGAAAGAAGAGTCTTGGAAACTAATCTTTATTTATTTGAACACATAAATTTACTTAGGGAAGAAGAGAGTTTTGGCAAACTGAATTGAATTAAAAATTGCACATCTTGTTCAGTTTAAAATTTCCAAGAAGCTTTTCTTTTTCGTCCTTGTGATCCCGAATGGTCTTGTCTATGATTATTTCCTTGTTCGGAATTCTCACTATCATCATTTCTTGGTTCATCTTCAGTTCTAGATGAATGTGTATTTCCAGGGTCTTGATTTTTTTGATTGGCATCAGAGTCAATTTGCTTGTCAGGATGACAATCAACATCATTCTCATTTTGTGTAAGCATATCGATTTCAGAAGAAGAAGTATCTTTGTCAATCAAAATTGACTCCGTGTTATCACGTCCATATTTCGCCATGCCAGCAGCATCTGCGTTGTTGACAACAAAATCAGGAGCAATATCTGCTTGTTCTTCCATGTCACCTCTTCCGTCACATCTCTCAACTGTAGTTTGTAATCGAGCTGCAGAATTTTCGAAGCACGATGTTGTGGGTTGTATTACATTATCCAAGTTAGTTGCTGTCCCATCATGCAAGTCAGCTGTATCATCAGCAACTTGAATTGCAATTCTCAACTCTGCTGGCAGACTTCGGAGCAGTAAGCGTTCCGAAAATCTTTCACGATGATCACAACCTGTGAATAGATTGAATACGAATAACAAAAGAATATGTTGAATTAATTCATAGTAAAATCAAATGAAAAGATTAGTAAAGGTTTCAAGTCGATATGTTGAATGGTTTGACTTTTATTAAACTTTCTTATTGCCCCTTGAAAATTGCTTCCAATTGTAAAATAACCTGAACCAAGTACCCTATCAACATTGACAATAGATTATTAATTATTGCAATTAGTTCTATTGAACCATGTATAAAAAGTTGGGTCTAAAAAGTTATACAAAAAACCAAAAATTTACCAAAATTTTCAGTCAAAAATTATAGTAAACTTAACAAACTTTTCTTCCTTTTCTAACAAAGTTTTCTAGTTAATTCGAGTCTAATAAAGATATTGGTAAAGGTAGCAAGTCGATAACTAATCACGGATCCACAGATCCTGCCTGGGTCACCAAATGTAACGGAAGTTTCTTACTTCACCTTAAGAATTGATTCTAGAATGTTCTAACAATAAATTAATCAAAAGACTATCGTGACAAATCACTGATGACCCTGATACTCATGATCATCATCATGGTAACAAAAAAACACATAGTCAATAATTTTCATATTTATGATTTGCAACACTTATTTATCTTGAGTTAGGATTTTGAAGTTAGTTGTAACTGTCAATCAGAAGATATTGCAGTTTAATTAAAAAGGTACTGAGATTCTTTGATTACCAAAACTTATCATAACAGTTGACCCTAAAGACATTTGATATTGGTGTTTTCACACATGCTTCTTTATGGTAGTGCCTTCAAATGACCTTGAAACGCGTTATTTTACACGTGTCCTGAATGACCTTGATCTTTGTATTTGACAATTGAGTATCGCTCAAACTCATATCACTCAAGTCTCGAGTCTCTTTGACTCTTAGTTGCTGAGAAAATCGCAAAAAATATCGGCGAAAATAGCTGAATAACCCTGTATATACAGGGCAATTCAGCTACTTTGTTGGTTTTCTTTTCACTATTTCTAAAAAACTACTAGACCGATAGGGTCCATATTTCGTCTATGGAAGTTTGGGTGATACCCAATTAGCATATTTCAAGGTCAAGGTCATGAAAGTTATTCGTTAACGAACGCACTTAGAGGTCATTTGAAGAACTTTTTGCAACTAGACATTTTTTTAAGCCTACCTGTGACGTTTTATCATTCCTTTACTTACAGGGTCTGATGCAATTTGCTTTCTGTAAAGTTATCTAGTAATCGATTTTGTTTTCGCACAATACCAACGTTGCTTTGTGATATTATTATTTTTTGACTTCATGACCAAGCTTAAAAATTTTAGTTTTCAAAGCGTTCTTCAAATGACCTTCAAGTGCGTTCTTTAACGAATGACCTTTATAACCTTGACCTTGAAATAAGACAAACGAATATTGGCCAAACTTCCATAGACGAAATATGGACCCTATCGGTCAACTAGTTTTTGAGAAATCGTGAAAAGAAAACCAACAAATTAGCTGAATTGCCCTGTATATATTGCTTTTGTTGATTTTTATTGTTGTTATTTTGTGTTGTTGAATTGTTGTTGTTTTTGTTTTTTAATATACAATACATTATATGATATTAATTGATATAATATTTTTTAATGTTGTTGTTTTTTTTAAATTTTATCCTCCACATAAACTGATCAAAAGTAAATGAGAAAATGAAGATCTTTCGATCTTCTTTATTCTTTTATAAAGAAAAAATTTCTTACAACTAATGTTTAATTATAAAAGAATAATTAAAATAAGGAAGGAGAGAGAGAGTGTGTATCTTTAAATACCATTAACTAACAAATTTAATAGTCAATTTAATAAAAGCTCTTTATTTAACACAAATTAGGTATTTTAAAACTTCACAAAACAAACTATTATTGCCAACTGGCCTTTCTTTTTTCCAAAATAAAGGATGAAGATAAAGACGAGGGAGCGAGCAAGAAGGGAGAGAGAGAGGGAAAAATTTGGTTGATGACGATGATGGTACCAGGTGGATAAACTTGTTTATCCATCTGGTCGAAGTTACCAAGACAAGAGATAGAGAGGGGAAGGTGATTAAATTTTGGAAGGAGAAAGAGGGAAAGCTAAGTTCCGCTAACTGAGTTCCAATTCCATATCGAAGGTTGCAGTTAGGTTGTTCCATGTGCGATTACCAAGAAGTACATAGAAAATATTAAAGAAGATTTAATGATTATAACTATAAGTTTTAAATTGATTGAGATGATTTGGTTTGCGTTAATTAATTTTTTTGTGACTTTTGAAAATAATAACTAATTGTCTAAGTACTTTTTCCATTTGTTTTGTGTATTTTTTTTATTTCCCAACACCAATAATACCAAAGTATATATTATGAATAAGATAGATTTAATATCGTTGATTATAAATCAGACCAATCTCATGTCGAAACTGGGGTATATGATCTTTCATCAATAGGTTCAACTGGAAAAACAAATAGTTGATGAAAAGCTTTTTCATCAGAAGTTAGTGCATGTAAATCAAGATTTTCGAGCTCAGAAATACGGCGATGACGAATAACTGAAGATGGTTCAATTTCCTTTTGCCAGTTTTTCCAATTTTTGTCACACAAATTGAATTCTTCGATTTCTGCTTTTGTGGCTAATTTTCCGTGTGTTAGCAGTAATTTCGTTGCCTTCTCATATTACTGATGGTTGCACGTCTCTTTCTGAAGAGTGGCCTTGAATTAATGATTTGGGATTATCACGATTCCAAAACTTTATGGAGAAGAATTTTACCAATTTACCAAGAGCATTGGTTGTTTATCCAACGATTGATTGAACATCGTTGCAGTATCGACAACCTTCACTCCATAATGAAAAATAAATTCTTGATCTATTCCTAGATGTTCCAGATCATTTCCACCATGAACGATTACTCTTTTATGAGCCAGAATCTCCTTCAATCTCGATTGAACATTGGTCAAAGGAACTCCATCAGCAAAATCCTCAATCTGGATACCGGTGATGGCTGTTCTCGGATCTTTCATTCTTGTCCAATTTTTGATGGATGCGAAGTAAAGGTTGTGACATTGACCTTTATTACACCCGACCCATCCAACTACATTGACGCAACCGACTGTTCTTCCACCATAACCTTCAGCAACCGGAGAGAGAGAGGAAAATGATCATTATTAAGAAAGTTGGAAGGGAATGGGATAGCTACGAGAAAGAAAGAAGAAGGAAAGGTAAAAGGGGGAAGGGACAAAGACGATTTGTGGCAGAGGCAGTGGCTTTGCCCCTACTGTCACTGAATGAACAACCAACAGATCAATACATTGGTGGTGAAAGATCTTTTGAAACAATCTCTCCACCACAATCGACTCAGCAAAACTCTTCATCTCTCCTTCATCAATGTTTAACTCAACCAAATCCTTCATCTCTAACTCAAGCTAATCTTCCTCTGGCTTTACCTCTTCCACCATCAATTCTCAACAACAACCTTACATGGTGGTGATTAAACCAACTTCATCAGTGTTATGTATGTCTCTTCTTATCATAATTAATTAATTATTGTTTAAGACCTTTAATTTTTGATTTTTTTTATAATTAGCCTTTTTGGTTATGCAAAAGGTGCTGAATTTGCTTTAAGTGAAATCACTACTGTATTCCTCTTGTTGCCATCTATTGGTAACAAACAACGTTTCTCCTTATGATTACATTTAGAATCCATTGATTTAACTTGACAATTGGGTTGATAAATTTTGATTCGTGCTTTTTTTTAATTGAATTGATATGATTGATTAACCTCCCTAATGTTAATCAAGCCAATTTAATCATGAATTTGAGTGGACTGATATTTCAAGTAATCAAAACAATTAAATGAACTAAAGAGATAAACTGAATTTAACTGTGAATTTATTTTATTAATTGTAATTTTTGTTTCCATCTCAATTAGTTAATACAATTTAATTACAGAAAAATAAACATTCAATGTTTGGCTTTGTATTGTTTTCTTATTATTAACAATCAATAGATTTGTGTCTTATTGATTAGTTATTGCAATTAAAACTCTGATTAAAACTTAAGCAAGTTAATCAATTAAGCCATCAGGTATTAAATTAAGGTAAAAGGCTAAGTGAAATACATATGAGGTCATGGACAAGGTCAAGGGTCATTCCATTATAAAAGATTGGACATTGAATGTTTTACAGAATGTGAATTGAATTAGTTAATTGTTATAATTAAAGTTTGAAATCATTATTAAATTTACAATTAAATTTATATTATAATATTTATATAAAAGCTACAAATTGAGTCTTTCTAAACAATTAAAAGTAATTAGTTTATAATTTAGTTTGGCAGAAATTAAATTGTCAGAGTTTATCAATTGATAGATGTTAAATTAGATTGAAAATTATCAACAATCTAATCAACAATCAAATTGAACAATTTTTACGACAATTAAGTTTACAATTAAGTTTTGGCATCAAGTTTATTTTTCTTTGGTTATAAAATTATCACTATTTGTGTGTATATCCAATGTATTGAGATCCTGATTAATTGGAATGCAATTAAGACCAATTTAATTATTTCCTTTAAATAATTAAGAAATTGTTCCTCGATTATAATTCCCATTGAAACGTTGAGCTGATTGTTGTTGTTGTTGTTGTTGACAAATTAACATTGGTTGTCGTTCAACATAAGTTGCATAATTAGCAGCACTGATTGGAATTGCTATTGATTGGAAGAGATTAAAATTGAACAATTAGATGATTGTAATTGTGATTAGATTAATTGTTTTACCAGTTAATTTTTTCTCGTCCGTTGCTTCATGAAATCTCAATAATGTATTGGAATTGATTGTCCCCTGGGCACAAGGTAATTGTCCAGTTAACGACATGTTTGGCCAAGATGCTTCAGAAGCACAACCAGAATCTGACGTTGTTTGAGTTACTGTTAAGTGATTAGATTTTGATTAGTATTTTGTTGATATCAAGTTAAGTTAATTGTTATTTGCTCAATTTACTTGGATAATTATAAACATGAACATCAGTCCGTGGCTGTCGGGGAGTCCGTTTGACCGTCGCATATAAAGGTTCCGTTTGGTTTAATTGCACATGCTAATTGATTGTAAATTTAATTTACTAATTTATTTGAATTTAATTGTACTTTTAGATATTTACCTGTTTCAGTGGTGATGGGCAGGTTCGTTTAGCTTCAGTTTCGATTAGACCATTGGTCAGATCTTTTTCTGATTCAATTTTGGTCATTGCATAGGAAGAAGGATAATTACCCGAGTCGAGGCTCGAAGCAGCACAATTTGTGGTCGATTTTTTCAATGTCCCATCAAGGGAAGTTAATCGAAGTGTTTCATTACCAGGCTCTCGTTTTGAGGGTTCATAGAGACCTTGATTTTCTAGAAGGTAAAAATGGTCGATAAATAAATGGAAAAGATTAGATTGACAATATTAGAAATGTTCGAAATGTTAAAACAGATATATACGCACCATAGAAGTTGATATTATTATGACGTCGTTTCAAAAATATTAAACAAATGAGAAAACTTAGAACTATGAAAGTTGCACCAATGGAGATAATTGTTGGCAGAATAAGATTCAATTCTGCGTATGGACTAGAATCTGAGGCCGATTTGGAAGCCTCATTGCCGATCATAAAAGGCCCCTTTTCGGCTAATAAATGAGAAGAGTAGGAAATGAAAAAAAGAAATTTTCGATTAGTTCTCATCAATCAAAAGAAATTAAAATATTAGTCAATTTTTCCATCTCATACCTCGAGCCAAACTGTTAGTTCTGAAGATGTGGGTCACCGTTGTTGGACCTGCTTCATTTGTCGCTGTTATTTTAAGCTCATACGAAGTTCCGGGTCGAAGGTCAGAGAGAATAATATCTTTCTCATCTTTGGACGGAGGAAAGATTACGGGTGGATGAGAGAACCATTCCTTTTTCTTTTCTTCTTTGAACATTATCTCCATTCTATCGATCGGACATCCTCCATCGTGCCACGAATCTGAGTGTATAACTGCAGTAGAAGCGTTTATCGATAACAGGGAATGTTTATCGGGCGCAACGGGGGCTACAAAAGAAAATGAAGATTTAATAAACCAGAATTTAGATATTTAGCGATTAGATTTCTATTCAGTATAAAAATACTGACCCAGCCCTTCGGTTTTCACATAGATAATGTTACTTGGGTCACTTTTACCGATCTCATCAAAGGCCACGATATAAAATTGATACGAGGTTCCACAGCTTAAGGCTTCAGTTGTATGAGAATTGGAACTTCCTGGAATCTCAAATGAATCCCATTTATCTGAACTTGAACGTTTCATGTAGACAATATAACCAGTTGGATTATCAGAATGAGCCTTAGTCTCAGAACTCCATGTGATTGTTATCGAGTTTGCAGTTTTAGTGGATAATTTTAGATTCGGAATTGAAGGTGGATCTGCAATAATGACGGATTATAAATAAATTAGAATCTAATAATTAATGGTTAACAAATTATCTTTCGAACCTTTTTCTAAGGTTTGAACTAGAATCTCTTCTGATGCTGGGCCAGAGCCTTTTGAGTTAAAAGCTTGGACGGTAATTGAATATTTAGTTGCTCGAGTAAGTCCATTGATTTGAGCTTCCATGTTAACGGAACGATCTTTGGCCTCCAGTGTTTTATAAGTGTATGAACCTGTTGTATCATCTCGAGTCTCTTTCACCTTATAACCAACATAATAGCCCATAATCGGCCCAAAGGTTAACTCTTTCTTTGGTGGTTTCCATGTAACTCTAACTGAAGATGAGCTCATTGGAATCGCTTTAATATGAAGCGGTGGTCCTCCTGGTGCTGAAATTAGAACCAAAAAGTCAGACACAATTAAAATAAGGAAGTTCTAAGACACATGAAGATCAAAATCGATAATAATTCGAATATAATACCTTCTTCATCAGTTCGAAAATGAACAACTTGACTTGGCTCACTTCGTCCGATCGCATTACTTGCGTACATGCGAAGTTGATAATGAGTAATAGGATGTAAACTCTCAAGACGATAAGATGTTCCACTGCCTGAGGCAGTTACATTCCAAGAGCCTCGAACTGTGGTCCATTTTTCTGTAATAATAACGAAAAAGATTATAATTTAAACTTAGAACTTGTTGAAAAAAAAAGATTCTATTTCTATTCTCACCTTTCTCTAACTTATACTGTACAATATACTCAATGATTGGACTATTTCCAGGATAAGGAGGTGACCATGAAACTGTTGCTGATCGACCATCATGGTCAAGAATTTTAATATCTTGAGGTGGATCAGGAGGCTCTGTAACACAAATTGAATCAGATTAATTTGATTTTCTAAATAAAAAAGATCAATTTACTAACCTTGAAGTAATAGTTGAATGTTAGTCTCATCTTTACCGAAACTATTAAAAGTATTACAAGTGAACAAGGCTGAATCCCGTCGATCAGCATCGCGAATCAAAATTTCCGATATTAAACCCTCTGGACTGGCCTCTTCGAAGAGTTCATATCTGGGATCATCTCGAGGAGTAAAACTAATCTTATCCTTGGACCAAGTAACGGTTATCGGTTTATCTCCAATCGATTTACATTGTAATCGAGCCTCTGAACCTTTTGTAACTGTGACAACGTTAAATTTTGTCTCGAAATGAGCAGCAACTGATAAAATGGAAGAATTAATGAAAAAGTTAGTTAAACATTCATGTTGATCGTTGATGTTTAAAACTGACCATTAACAGTTAGTCTGATAACTTTACTCAATCCTGGACCAATGTTATTATTTGTCTGACATAAATAATAACCAGCATCCGATTTCTGAGCGTTATGAATGGCCAATGATCCATTTTCAAAGACAAGAAGATGAGGAGATGAGTTTATCGGCTTGAAATTTGTCGGTGGGTCTTGTTGATAACCTTAAATGATAAAAAAGATAGAAATCAATCAAATAACATATTCTATTCTCCATGAATATTTAATGAAAGTCTCAATAGATGTTGCCATCTACTGAGAATCGAACTAATCAAAAAACTTTCCACTTAGTTTCGAGACGATTCCCTTAGATGGCATAACTTGATTCTCAAGAAAAATAAAGTTCTAATACTAATAGATTTTTATCAAGTCGAAATTGAACAGAGTCAAGATAACTGAAGAGTTCTATCTCTCTCTCAGTTTCCATGTCATTTCGTTATCAGATTAACCATCATCTTCTGAAATAATCTGATAAATATTATGAAAACACGAGACGAAGGGGATAGAATATGATATCAATCTATTTGTCTATGGAGAAGCAAAAAAGTTCAATGAAAAGAGAGTTCAGAATTCAGTATATAATAATATATAAATCATCTGAATGAGAAGATGGAAAATCCATTCCCAGTGATAATAATCAACTTTCTATTATTATTATTAAAATGAATTGGGAAGCAATAAAAATGAATATGAATATAAATCAAAAAAAGACGAAAATAAAAAAATCTAATATGAGAATCAAAGTTGATCATCATCATTGAGAGATAAACAAAAACAACACTGAATTGAAATGATTCCATGAACATGATATTGAGTAAACAACATGATATCATTATACTATCATTATGATTATTGACATGAGATTGAATTGAGATCTAAATTTTACGTGAGTATGAATCACAAACTCGATAATATTTTCCGTTCCAAGATACGAACTGCTTAAGAAGAATGAAAAACTTTCTCTCAAAGTTTATTCAACTTTCTCTTTCCGAATATAACTTTTTCCAAATTCTTAGTAAATAATATATAACAATATTTTTCCAGCATTTTCGTACCTTCACCTTTGGTCCAACGTATTCGAGGAATGGGATATCCTTCAGCTTGACAGTCTATCGATATACTTCGACCTTGAACAACCGAACTGTCAACTGGTTCGATAACCCACCGAGGAGGCACTAATAAGAAAAAAAAAATGGAATTAGAAACGATAAACTTAATTCAAGGTGATCATCTTCATCTTCACAATCAATAAGATGATGATTATTGGAAGAGGGCATAATGTTAATCTCATTTGATCCATCAGATTTACAGAACCATATAAGAGATTGATACCAAAAAATTGATCATCCTCATCATCTTATCATCCTTATTGATATAGATTATGTGTCAAAGTTAATTTAATTTAAACCCTTTCCTCCAATAACAGACACAATTGGTGACATATTTTCAGTCATCTTCCTCATCCTCATTCTCATTCTCATTCTCATTCTCATCCTCATCCTCATCTTCATCTTCATCTTCATCCTCATCTTCATCTGTAACTTTCATTTTCAATTACATTTCATCTGATGATAAAAACTTTCATCCTCATCTTTTATCATCATTATCACCCAATCATGTCACCATTTTCAGAACCATGTACTTAACCAATTTAATGACAATTAAAACAATTTAATCAAAGTAAATATATTATATTCAAATTAATCCTTTCTCTCCTTATCTCTTTATCTTCATCCTTTTCTCATCCTTGAAGATGCTTTTTTCTCATTCTTTATCCTCCGCATCCATTGAATTGTTAATCAGTTGGAAATCTTTTGAGTGTTCAACTAATTTCAATTAACTCTTGTAAGACCAAACAATTAACATTCAACCATTACCATTGTTGTTTACCAACTTGATTAATACTCTTAATTGTTGACAATCAGTTTTATATCACAAAATCTAATCAAATATTCAAGTCACACAAACAAAATGAAAACAATGATATAAATGAAACAAAATATTCTCAGACTGAATAATCATCAGCATGATAATTTAAAACTAAATTAAAAAAAGAGCTTAAAGTTTATCATCACCATTTGGAAACAGTTAACATTTAATTTAAGTAAAGTTTAAGGCTAAGAAATTAGTAAATTGTTATATACAAATTAATGGTCAACAATCAAATTTATCTTTGAAAAAGTAAATCCAATCCAATTACTGATTAACTTAATTATAAATTAAATGATTTGCCTCTTAACGGTTATCATGAATGATCATTGGTGAAGGTAATTAATCGTAGATAAGATTAAGAGCTGATGATTACTACAATTAATTAATTTCTTAATCATTGGCTCATTTCTTACATCTTAATATTGATCATAATGGGAGAAACATTGATGAAGTTTATGTTTTAATTTACTTTAATTGTTAAACATCAACAATTAATCAATGTTGCTACTTGTATGTTTTCAACGAGTAAATAATTTAGCTAATTAAAATTAATTGTTTCACTAAATGTTTAACTAATACTGTAAACAAAGTTTAACTTAATTGTGATAACATATCAAACTTATGCCTTAAATTGTTAACTAATTGTTGACATTAATGTAAACCAATTTTACACAATTTACTAATTATTTTCATCATTAGTTTGCCAACATGGTTCAGAACTGATTCCAATCAAATAGCGACACTTTTTTCATTTCAATGAGAAATTTTCGAGTCCAATATCACCGAATAGGTTATTCAAAGGTCAACCAGATATACGGTCAATACCTACGAAGTGACCATTGAGAAGATCGTTAGGTCAAAATGGTTTCGATGTTGATAAAGTTTCGATAACATCGATGATGATGAGTCACTAATGGATCGATTCGTTTTCTTAGAATCCGAGCTGATTATCAGACAATTAGATTGGTAGGAACTGTTATATTATCAAGAAAATCTATTATTTCAATCGTAATTGCAGTTTAATGGTTCAATTAATTACTACGATTATGTAAAAATGTTGGAAAAGTTTTTTTGTTTGCTGATCAATTTGAGAGTAAACTTGGATAATCAATGATTATAAAGCGAATCATGTAAGTTAATCAATATTAGATGAAGATTAATGAATAATAAAATTGATTTGGTTAAATTTTGAGAGATAAGATTGATGATGATTAACTAATTGTTGTAAAAGCTTTTCAGATAATTATCACCAGGCAAAAGTTCAAGTAATTGGGAAGTGGAAACAAGAAAAACAAAATTCTGGATGAAAGGAAACAAGATCCATCTAAATAATACATTCAATTGAAACAAAAAACATTCACCACCACCACAACCTCATCACCTACTCCACCCAATCATGATCCTCATCTTCATCCTCATCCTCATCCTCATCCTCATCTCCATCCTCATCATTTTCATCTTCATCCCTAATATTGGATTACATTGAAGTATCATAAGTAATTCATGAAAACAGGAGCAAACAAAAAAAACGGGAGGAAAAAAGTTCATAAATGTTATCCCATTAGTTTATCTTATACTTTGCCAACAATTAAATAAATTACAATCTCATGATAATTAGTGACCATTACAATTTCATCGTATTCATCTTGTATCATAATAATTATAATCAATCACAATAAAGTTTAACAAATTATTATATTAAATTAACAGCTAATCCAGTTGATTGTGATGATATTATATTTGTTAATCAGTTATCGTACGATTAATATATAAATTATATGATTAAATTGGTGAAAAATTTTTAATATGAGAGAGAGCATAAAAAAATAAGCTTCTTGATATAAAAACAACAATTAACTTGATCATTCATTTCATTTCACTTTCATTAATTACACTTTTTCAAAATTAAGCATCACCATTAAATTAAATTAATCTGCTAATCCAAACAGATTCAATTTAATAAATTATCATGATGAATATATAACAAGAAATGGAATCCAATGAATAGTAATATAAATTTTCATATGTTATATTTTCATAAATTTAACTGAATAGATTCATGATTCCCACCAGAATTTGGAAACTGTTATTTTATTTAAATGGTACGAATTGTTGAAGAGAAAAGTTCGAAATAATTTCCAAAATAGAAAAAAGAACATAAATATAATAATAGTATCGAATTATTCATAATTTTATTCTCTTCTTCTTCGTTCTTAGTGATAAACACAAGTTCTATCTTAATTTGGAATAATTTTCTATCTCTTTCTCTCCTTTTGTTTTACCGAAAACTTCTTATCCATCAGAATTACCCAGAGAATTCTGGTTCCAAGTTAAATGGAATTACAATTTGAATCAATTAGTGGTTTTGACGAACAAAAAGAATAACTAATCTCCAAGTTAACATGTTCAGATTTTGGACAATTTCGAAAATCGAAATGAGAAGAAAAAAAAATTCGTAACTCAAAGTTTTGGAGAAAAAGTTTCTCGAGGAAGTAGAATAAAAAATTCGACTTTTCCTGATCATATGTCAACATGAAACTTTAATACTCTAACATTAGAATTTTATTCTTTTTTTCTCATGATAACTTTCATTCCAAATGATATTGTAAACTTTTCGAAAGACACACAAATAATATTCTCTTTAATCATATTCTGTTTATTTACGAAAGAAAAAAGTTGCAAAAGAAAATTTCACCCACTGTTATCTACTTTTTCCATTGACACTACAACCTAACCTCATCTTATTTACTTTCATGATCATTTCCTCATTTCTTATTGAGATACTTATCAACAGTGAACACCGAAAAAAAAAGTTCATGATAATATATTTTAAAATTCAAGTCACTTTCAATGAACTTGTGTTAACAGTCACGTTAGTAGTTGTTAGGTAAACGTTTCAGAGACAATTTAATAATTGTTGAAACAATAGACAACAAATTCTTGTTAAATTATCATCATTAACTTGTACCATTATTATTAACCCAATTTCGATGACAACTGAAAACATCTCATCTGAACTTTCATCTTTCTGAGTCTTATTTTTTTTTTCGTCAAACAAGAAAAAAGCTCAAATTCAATTTGGGACAATTTTCATTTTCGCTTGAAAATTATCATTATTATCAGTTTTTCACCATCATGGTTGAGTCAACACAAAACCCCATCAATGAGCCTTTGGTGTTCAATTCAGTTTCAGAATCTTTTTGGTTCATGGAGATGAGAAAATGAGAGACATTTTTTCAGAGTAAATATTGAATTCTTACCATGTATTATCATATGGGCGGTGTGAGTTGCTGAACCAGCTTCATTGGTCGCGATACAAGTGTAGTTACCTTTATGCTCGAGCGCCAATGATTCAAATAATAAAATTGATGAATAATCACTTAATTGTGATACCTTGATACCCTTTTGTAGTATAACGGGTGCTCCATCTTTCAACCATTTAACATGAATCGGATAATCACCGGACGCTGCGGTACAAATGACCGATGCTCGTTGACCCTCACGAAGGTTAACTGGGAATGAAAAGTTGGCGATTGTTGGACGAACTAAATAAGAAAAGATAAACACGAGAAATGTCCAATTAGTGGCCAGTTTATAAATCCAAAGAATATTTCAAATTTTAATAATAATCAAATTCTCAAAATGTTGATGAGAAAATTTCATCATTTCTTTCCGAAATCTGATTGACCGCAATGGTTTCAATCGAGAATTGAAAAGATAAATTTCACCTTTCAAATACTCATGTTTTATGGTGAAATTCAAAGATTATATCTTCATTAATGATTGATATAAATTCTGAATGAGATGCTGGTTATTTATTATGATAACATTGAGATAGTAAAAGTAATTTACAAGTCGATTAAACTTTGAGAATAAAAAATTCTTCATGTAATATTGTGAAAACTTGGTGAAAGTTGAAAATTTTAAACTCGAAAAGATTGAAAAATTATCCTAACAATAAATAGAGAGATTTTGAAAAAGTTTTGTCATCCTTTTTGTTTTTGTGTCACTGACAGTGGACCTTATTAAGGTGGAGTCAAGGTAAATAAATGTTAACAATGAGAAAAGTAAAGTGATCATCATGATGATAATTCTGATGATAATAATAACTCCACCCGGTGAACATGATGAGTTGTAAATGAAAGTGGGAGTTGAAAATCAAGAAGTCAACTCATATAAATTTAATAAACAAAAGTTTAACTCACAAAGACAACTAACAGGCTCATCTAAATTCAAGGTAATATTCAGTTTCTCAGGCTAAAAATATAACTTCAGGAGAGAGAGAGAGAGAGAGAGATAAAGATGATAATGATGATGAGGAAGAGAAGAAGAATAAAAAAACTCGAGTAGAATACTCGATTCAAAGAGAGAAAAGAGAGAGAGAGAGAAAGAGAGAACAGCAAATGGGCTTTGCTCTTTTCTTTTTATCATTCTGTTGTTTTCTCAGTTTCATCATGATGATAATTCTGAAAGTTCAGTGGGTTTCCTATTCATTCCCACTCCCTGTTCCTTAAATGTGACATAAATTTCTTGTTTACTATTGAATAACTTTTTTACCTTTATCATGTTACATAGTAGATAAGAAAATTGCTCTTTTACATTAACGCAATTCTATAACAATAACATTTATCCTAATAACCGACAATTATATCATAAAGATAATCTCTCATCAAGATAATCACTATGTTCCAATTGTGTAACCGATTAACAATTTATGTCAGATAAAAGATAATTAGAAATGATAAACTCAATCCAATAGACAAGAGGTGATTTTTTTACGCTCTTCTATCCATCACATTTATAAGAAGCTGATTGTTAATCTAATCTCATCCTCTCTCAGTGTTTTGGCAGTTTTAATGTAAATTGTAATCAACATGATGATTATTGTAAGTTGATTGTATCAGTAAAAAACAGATATACTAACTTACCCTTAACACTAATGTATAAACTTGATTCCGATTGTTGATTTTGTTTATTACGAGCAAGGCAAGTGTAAAATCCTTCATCAATAGAGCTTTCAACTTGATGGATTTCGAGTGAACCATTATCGTGAACTTTTTGTCTATGATTATCGGGTAACCTATGGCCTCCTGAAATATATCAAAAATGGATGATAACAGAGAGAGAGAGAGAGTGATGATGATGATGATGATGATCAGAAAACCATTCATGTCAGTCAATGTCTCAATAGTGAAAATGTCATAGGAAAATGTAGCAAGTAAAATCAAGTGTCATTCTCAAAATCCCAGGATGATTTTCAGACGATTCAAAAGGGAGGAATCGGGATACATATACACCAGAGAGATGGGATGCTAAAGATGATAAGAAATGGATTAATATGATGATGATGAGGATGATGAAGATAGATTCTTGTTAGAGTATAAATTGACTATTTCTACTCTTGGTGAGTTAAATTTCATCTTTTCAAATTTGTCAACTCTCTTTCTCTTGATAAAGATAACCAATGAAAATATTGAGACTTTTTCTTGTCTTCAAGTTGACATTCTTTGAGTATCTGTTTACTATGTAACTTGCAATTCTATCATTTCACAAAGCTACCCCACCCAAGAAACTCATGTAAATCTGATTCTCTGAACTCTCCTTACATCAGTTATCATCTTTATCCTCACAATCTTCATCACCTAAACTCACAATATCGTTTTCCCTGCAACAGTAAACACTTCAATTGATATTACATTTGATTCTCAACTCCCTCATGACAACGATGATACAAATGATTATATTGATGATGATGATGATGATGAAAACTCAGGCAACATAATAAACTACTAATTAATATGAATGACTCTTACATGTTTAACCTTGATTCAGATTGTGATATAAAAATCCCAATGGATAATGGATAACCCTGTTTACTATGGAGACGTTGATATACAAGTAAACAGATAAATCGTCAACTCAAGTTCTGAACATAATCTTGAATAGCAGATAATATTATCATCATTAAATAAACACAATCTAAGCCTTAATCCTTAATCATTGAATCTTAATCAATAATTAAAACATTGACTGATAATATAACTATTACAAGGGAAAAAAAGTAAATCAAATGGATTTTATTTGTTGTGAGATTTTGTAACAATCCCTTTTCCTTGTGCTCTTTTCCCTATTTGTTGTTTTCCCCTCAAGCAACTTAGTTGCTTCACCTTTGCATCTCATTATTACCTTTGTTTCCTTTTCCGTCTCATATGATATATATAGTGATTAATTCAATCAATAGTTACTTTTTTTTCATTTACCAGTTACTCATTAACCAAACATTGATCTAAGATCAATTAATTAAACTTTATAATAGTTCAACATCACCCACATTGTGTCTTATTAGTAATTCTGATTAAGTGTTTGTTGCTATATGATGAATTACCAATTGTAGTTACTACTTTTGGTTCATTTAATTTGTCGTGAGAAAGACAACTTAGTTGTCTCAATTTGTCATATAATTATAATCGGTCATTTAATTATATAACATCTGGTGGAGATGCCCTTTTGATCCGCTTCTCGTCTTAAGGAGGGGAGGAATTAAGTCAGTTGAATATTTAATTTTTCTGTACATCTTTAAGAGCTAAGCTCAGTACTCATTCTTTTACTACTTTTGTGTTTGTCAAGTAGTAAAGATCAACTATTGTTTTGTGTGAACTAAGTTCAAATTTTTCTTGTGAATTAATTTATTGTGTTCGATCAATAAATTAAGGTGTTGGTCCTATTAAAAGACAACAGTAATTATTGTGTGTGATCAATAAATTACTACGTGTTTGGTGTGAACTAAGTTCTGTATTCGAGTAAGACTTGGTGAAATGGATAGAGAGTCAAACAAAGAAAATCCTGACTCGTTACTAGCATCTAGTAAGTTAGACCTGTTACTAAGTAACAATGGGGCCTCGACAAGTGCTAGTGGTGGAATACGACCCAGAACAAATTCAAGAGACATGGGTTCCAATTCAATTGCTGACTTGATGATGAAAACATTGAACTCAGTTCAAGAAAGTTTGCGAAAATTGGAAGACAAAATTGATAAAACCGACACAAGTACAAAAGCGTGCTTGAGTGGGATGGCCACGAGGTTATCAGCTATTGAGGTTAACCAATTGAACTCAACATTACTGGACAGCACAAGGACAAATGTTAACACAGTCGGTTCCAATAGACCCAATGAAGGTATGGGACAAGGTCGAATCAATACAAATTCTCAGAATTTGAACAATCGATGTGACCAATCCATTTTAGAGACATTCACTCAGAGCTCAACTAAGTTGAGTATCGATGGGTTTCCCGTGTTTAAGGGTAATCCAAGTGAAGCAGCAAAATGGTTGAGTGAATTTGAATTCGAAGCGGCTCTCAATAGTTGGAAAGACGAAGAGTTAGTTCGTGCTGTTGGTAAATGTCTTAAAGAGGATGCGAAAAAATGGTTCATGTACGTGTATTTACCCAAGGTGACGCCTGGAGGTCATTCATGGGCACACTTCTTAGAAGTGTTTAAAAAGACTTACGTAAGAGAAGTCGATAAAATTTGCTTGTATTCAAAAATTCTCGCAAGAGAACAAGGATACAATGAAAGAATTTCGAATTATTATCATGATATGTTGGCGATGTGTAAGGAATATCATGGGAATCTACCTGAAGATTTGGTAATTACCCACGTCCTGAGAGGGCTGAAGGAGGTTAATCGTGTTTCAATTCAATCAGCTTTAAGAGGTAATCGCTCTCTGGAAACACTAGCTCATCAAATTCAGTTAATCAGCGAAAGTGAGGTGATTAAAAATCGAGATGATAATAAGAAATCAGTCAAGAAAACTGAAAGTGAAGTTACTTCACAGACAAAAACTACAACAACGATTATAAAGAAAAAAGACCCAGCCAACATCATTTGCTATAATTGTATGGAAAAAGGTCATTTCTCAGTCAATTGTCAATTACCTTTTGATAAAGGAAGATATGATAAAAACAAACTAAGTTTGTACAACCAGAGAAGGTTGAAAAGTGTTAATGTAATTGATAGTGAAGATCATGGAAATGAACATGAAACTCTCAACAACGAGTCATCAACACAAGACATGGTTGAACTAAGTTCTGTGGAGGTCGATACTTGGACGATTGGTCCTAGCGTTGCTGCAATTGATTTCAACTTTAACCTTAAGTTACCATCGCTTAACGTGCTAATCAACGGCTTGCTAAGCCCAGCTCTGGTTGACACAGGAGCCAAAGTAAGCTTAATGAAAAACGATTTCAGAATAAAATCTGATTGTGAAATATTACCCTGGAATTATGGACCATTAACAATGGCAAATGGTGATAAAGAAAAACCTTACGGTTATGTAAAATGTATAATGAAGGTTGATCGTTTTCTTATACCAATGAAATTTATCGTCATGTTAAGATTAAGTCATGATCTAATTTTGGGTTCAGACTTTTGTTCAACGCATGGAGTTGAAATTATATTTTCTAAGAAAATAGTTAACATAACAAAACCTGCTGATGATGTAGTTATAATCAATGCAAAAAGATTCAGAGAGATGAACTCAGTTCAATCTGATAATCAAGTGAACTTAGTTCAAGAGACAATTGAAAACGAAGTGAACTCAGTTCAACACGGAGATTGGATAATGGATGAATTTGAGAATGTCTTTGCTAAGAACGCCAATGATGTTGGTCTCATAGATGGTGTTACTCACGAAATTAACACTGGAGATCATCCTCAATATACGCTAAACCTTATCCTGTACCTGTTTCTCTAAGAGAAAAGATCGGAGATATGGTCAATGATATGTTGACTCAAGGAATAATCGTACCAAGTCAAAGTCCATGGGCAAGTCCAATCGTTTTAGTTGCAAAAAGGTGGATCGACAAGATTTTGTGTTGACTACAGAGCTCTCAACAAGATCACTGAAAGTGATCCGTATCCTATTCCTAGGGTGGAAGATGCATTGGATATTCTTGAAGGATGTGTTAAATTTTCATCTCTGGATGTCGCCGCCATGTACTGGCACATTAAGATGAAAGATGATGACCAGAAGAAAACAGCCTTCGTGGTATCACAAGGATTATTTGAGTTTTAAGAATGCCATTTGGTCTCAAAAATGCTCCTGCAACTGCCGTGCGAACTATGAACAGAGTTCTAGCTGGATTAAATGGAGTAAATTGTTACATTTACTTCGATGACATTTTGGTCTTTGGTAAAACGGAGAAACAGCATGATGATAACCTAAGAAAAGTTCTCCAAAGACTTAAAGAAAATAATGTAAAACTAAGAAGAGAAAAGTGCCGATTCAATCAAGATAATGTTGATTATCTTGGTTACAACATTTCAAAGGATGGAATCACTCTGAGTGAAAGTAACATTGAAACTGTTATTCGGTTCAAAGAACCAAAAAGTGTAACTGATGTAAGGAGTTTCATTGGATTGTGTTCGTACTTCCGGAGATTCATCGCCAAGTTTAGTGAAATAGCAAGGCCGCTACATGCACTCTTGAAAAATGGAACTAAGTTCCAATGGACTAATATTGAACAAAGTTCATTCGATAAATTGAAACAAACAATTACAAGTAAACCAGTGTTAATGTGTTTTCAAACGGAAGGAGAACTTGAGTTACACACAGACGCATGTGATTATGGTATTGGTGCTGTATTGTATCAACGAGATCAAAATAATAACTTCAGACCCGTTTGTTATGTTTCAAGAACACTGAGTAGTACTGAATTAAATTACGGTGTAACAGAAAAAGAATGCCTGGCGATCGTCTGGTCAGTAACTAAGTTACGACACTACCTTTTTCAACGAAAATTTACCGTTATAACCGATCATTGTGGATTATGTTGGTTTATGACTTCTAAGAAGTTAACTCCAAGACTAACTCGATGGTCATTGAAGATGCAAGAATTTGACTTCGAAGTTAAATATAAATCTGGAAAATTACATGGTGATGCCGATTGTATCTCTCGTTATCCATTGCCCAAGGGTGAAGGCGATAACGAAGATGAAGATGAAAGTTTCGTTATTAATATTGAAATGATTGGAGATGATGAGTTCTCAGAACTCCAAGAAAATGATTCTCATGCGAAGAAAATCATTTCTACGATGAGTGATTCAACATTATCAAAGAGAAAGTTAAAGCGATTGATAAAGAAATTCTCAATCGTTGATGGATTGTTGTATCGTCGTAGAGGCCAAGAAATGGTCCCTTATGTTCCGGTATCTTTAAGGTGTAAAATACTAAAAGATGCTCATGACGAAGGTCACTTAGGTGTTAATAAAGTTTCTCAGAAACTTTCCAAGCGGCTCTATTGGCCTAAAATGCATAGAGATGTGAATCTGTTTGTAAAAAGTTGTACTTTTTGTCAGAAAAGAAAATCTATGTCTAAGAATAAGTATGGATTCATGGTTCCGATAAAAAGACCCGAAAGAGTTTTCTCAGAAATCTCATTAGATTTAGTTGACATGCCAACAACGAAAGACGGTTATCGATATGCATTGTCGATCAACGATCGTTTGTCAAAATTTGCGGTCGCTATACCGTTGAAACAAATGAAAAGTAACGACATTATTGAAGCATTAACTCATGGATGGTTCTATCGATTTGGGGTACCTGAAAAGTTAATTACTGATAATGGAACTAATCTAACATCACAAGAGTTTAAAGAGTTCTTAGAACAATTTGGAATTGAACACCGAAGGACTACTCCTTATCATGCTCAATCGGATGGACAAACAGAAAAGTTCAATGGCTATTTGGGAACTACATTATCAATTTACTCAAAAAGTAAAACAGTTGAATGGCCTCAATGTATTGACGAAGTTGTATTTGCTTACAATTCAACACCACATCGAACAACAAAGTTTTCACCTTTTTATTTAGCTCATGGAATTGAACCTCGATGTCCTTGGGAATCGAAACTGAAACTTGCTCCAGTTTTGACTGAACTTAGTTCAGAAACAAAGATGAAAAGTTTAGACGAACATCGAGAAGAAGTTAAAAGAAACATTGAAAAGGCCCAACAAGTTTCTAAAACTTATTACGACAAGAAGAGAAAACAACCTAACTTCCAAATTGGTGATTTGGTTCTTATAACTCAACCAATACTGAAAAAAGGAACTTCTAAGAAGTTCAATGATCGATATAAAGGTCCATATAAAATTAATCGAAAGTTCAGTGATATAAATTTCGAATTGATCAATCTCAGTGGTCCTGTTAAATTGGAAAATTGTCATGCAGATAGAATGTTACCATTCTTCGAAACAATTAATAATTATCAAGAGCTTGAAACTAAACTAAGTTTAGATAAAAGTGATAATTCTGCTGATGAAATTCGAAGAGGTGATCTTTTTGATATTCTTGACGATACAATCACTAATTGAACAACTGAGTTGTTTTCCCGATTAACATTTTACTTGAATCTTAATTATTAATAATCGAAATCCGTTCATTGGTCGTGGCGCTGGTCGGTAACTAGAGTAACTAAGGAGTTATTGCATCATTTACAATCCATTCATAACATTGGTCAATTTGGTTGTCATGGTTACAACAATGGTTGACTAGTTTACACTTGTCTTAATTTCGCCATTTGTATTGTGAACTTAGTTCTGTTGACATCATTTTTCATTTTTCTCTCATTACGCTTTTTTTTTGTGCTCAAATTTTTTCAATTAACTTAGTTAATTTTATTATGTATCGCCTACCTGAGTCGACTTTCTCTTGGGAACCAGTTGAAATTCGTGGTGATCCCATTGATATTCTCATCGAATCTCAACAAGCACCTGATGCTAATTACGTTGATTTCAACGCCCCAGTACTTAGTACACAACCGGAGAGGAGAGAATGGATCAGCCAATCATTGGTTCATTCAGAAGAATCAGAGCAAATTAAACCCGATGATCTTTCGGTGGAATGTTTTCTCGATCCGAACTTAGTTCGTGACTTCGAATGTGTTATCTGCCTCAACTTTGCCAAAGATGCTGTTACCTGCCTTTTCTGCCGAGCTTCAATTTGTTCAGGTTTATGTATTCGCATGTATGAGGAAACAACCCGAACTCAGTTCATCACTTGTCCTCATTGTCGAAAGGACTTGAAATTAGTTCCAAGACCTCAACATGGAAAGAAATCGATGGAAATTTTGGAAAATTTAAAATGTATTTGTTATTTTGAACCTTTTTGTAAAAAAATTATGCCGTCCAAATATTATAAAGATCATGTGAGGCGATGTGAGTTTAATATTGACAATTGCCAAAGCTGCCAAGTGAATCGCCATGATTCTAATCATCATCTCAAAGTCTGTATGGCTCCGAATCCAAAGGAAACTAATGAACTTAGTTCATTAAAAAGGGAATTGGATCGTTTAAAAAGAAAACTTTTCAAGCAAATTTCTTCAACCGAAGAAAAAGAGGCTAAAATAAGCGAACTTAGTTCGAAATTAGAAAAAAGCGAAAAGCTTAATGAGGATAAAGACAAAAAGATTAAAGAATTGGAGGATCAACTACAATTAATTAAAAAGCCTCGATTATTCGCAACATCAAACAACATAAAAAGCGTTAAAGACCATGAAGGAAAATTTACTAAATTCATCATTCGATTTGGTGATAAAGTTTTTCGCATTGCTGACATTCCATTAAACGCCCCAGGAATAGTTCTAAGATCTAAGATCGAAGAAGAACTCGGACAAAGAGTTGGACCCATAATGCGCTTCGACCACACGGTCATTAAAGATGATCAAATCTTAAAGAAGCATCAGTTATGCTACAAACCAACTCAGTTGGTAGTTTTGCCATGTGATCGCCCAGTTGAGGATGGTCGATCTTTACAAATCGAGGTCACAGGTCGTGGAGATATTGTTTAATTTCAATCGGGGAGGATGTTGTGAGATTTTGTAACAATCCCTTTTCCTTGTGCTCTTTTCCCTATTTGTTGTTTTCCCCTCAAGCAACTTAGTTGCTTCACCTTTGCATCTCATTATTACCTTTGTTTCCTTTTCCGTCTCATATGATATATATAGTGATTAATTCAATCAATAGTGACTCTTTTTCATTTACCAGTTACTCATTAACCAAACATTGATCTAAGATCAATTAATTAAACTTTATAATAGTTCAACATCACCCACATTGTGTCTTATTAGTAATTCTGATTAAGTGTTTGTTGCTATATGATTAATTACCAATTGTAGTTACTACTTTTGATTCATTTAATTTGTCGTGAGAAAGACAACTTAGTTGTCTCAATTTGTCATATAATTATAATCGGTCATTTAATTATATAACATATTTAAAGGGTATTGTTGATATGTAATAATAATACTCTTTGAACCCATAGAGATATAAAATGAATACTCAACAAAAATAAATCAACTTATTAGTTAATCAAGTAAATTAGTATTTTAATTATTGATTCAATTTCCATTGTTATTATCGAAATGATTTTAAGTATCAAGTTGATTAGTGTGTTGATTATGTATGAGAGAGGGTAAAGGGTTGATGATATTTAATCCAATCATCTTTAAGATTGTCATTATACTGATATTGATTGTAATTTAATCATTGAAAATGTAATTTATTACTCAATGATATCATGAAAATAAGACTAATAATAATAAAGATACCATGTTGACAGGGTAGTTTCAGTCAGAATTATTTGTTTATCAATCTCATTCAAATCTCATGAGATGGAATTGAAAAAAAAACAGTTATCATCATTTGGTGAGTTTTCAATGGACAATCAATCAATTGTTTTGTACTCTCTCACTCTCTTCGCTCTCTTTGGAGAGGGTGGGAAATGCTGATGGTGGGAGATGGAATCGCCTGAGCTGATCATCTAAAGCTTAATCATCCTTTGACTTTTATTCTGATATTTTATCACCACGACTCTTGGAGTCTCTTTCAGCCTGGAAGCTTTTACTTCATTGAGAAAGTCAATTTTCATCTTCTTTGTATTTTTGTCTTCTTCATCATCTTTATCATTATCTTCCTCTTGCACAAAATCCAAATATAACATTATGAAGATAGTAAAAGAAGAGAGGGAGATAGATAGATCTCTCTCTCTCTCGTAAATGGAGATAGAGAAAGGCACTGGGAGGGTGAATAGGGAATGAAGAAAAAAGGAGAAACTAAATAGAGTGAATATCAAACTGACAGAGAGGAAAAAGAGCTCATGGTGGGAAGACAAATAACAGGTTGAATTAGATAGACACAAGAGGTGGAATTTGTGTGGGTGGGTAAGTAGAAAAGAGAAAAAAAATTGTTCGAAAATAGAATAACAATATGCTGATTGAAGGGCGAAAATTAATTACAGACCGATCACAAAGGTCACCGGAAGATGAATAATAACATTGATGATAAATCTGATTTCGGGCTTAATTGTAACGGAAGAGACTTTAATTTGTATCATTTTTGATGGAAGTGGCAAGAAAAAATCTAATAACCAACATAATCTATCAAGAGATAAACTGACGAAAGGAAGAAGGGAAAAAAATGACCAGAGAAAAACTCGGACAAGAACTCAAATCAACCCAAGAGACAAAAAAACTCATAAGAGAGGAAGATGATGATGAAGACAAGAGATGATGTAAAAAAGTAAATAAGATGATAATAGGATACGATGTTAAATATGGTTAACATTATTGTCCATGGTTGGTCAGTTTGAATTGAGTAGTATTCAGTTCATTTTATAATTTAATTCCCAGTTGACTGAGTCCAGCACTGGTCATTCAGTTGTCGACTTATGTTTATTGGTGTATATGGATGGGGGAGAGATTGAGTTAGTTTCATGATGAGAGAGAGGGAGAGAAAATCACAGAGGAAATGAGTTTTTTTTCTGCTTTTTCAATCGATATTGACCATCGATGATAAATCAATAATCAAATGTTGATGTTGAAAGTTTTTTTTACATTGAGACTTTGTAGCTATGTGAGTGAATGAATGAGTGTTTATGGGCTGAAAGGTGGAATTGATTGATTTGATTGGGAGGTTTACCTTTTGTCCATGTGATTGATTCAATCGGATAACCAGCGACTGGACAATTAATTAGCAGGACATCACCAGCAACTATTGTTATATTGCCCATGGGTCTTACTATCGGTGGACCCAAGATGTTGATACGTTGAGCATGTTCAATGGCGGAAGCACCGTTATCAGCTTTACATTTGTATTCACCTCCATCTTCAACCCGAATGTCCGAAATGTTAACATAACTGACCACCAAGTTTTCCTGTTAATTGATGATGAGTAAAGATGAACAAAGATTGATAGAGAAAGGGAGTCAGTGAGAGAGAGAGAGAGAGAGAGAGAGAGAGAGAGAGAAAATCATAAGAAAATGATGTATATTAGTTATAAGAATGAGACTGTTACCAAAATTGAGAAATGAAATATGATTATCAATGGATGGACAATTTTACAATTGATGATGGCGATGATGATAGTTATCATCATCATCATCATCATCTTATATCATCTTTTTTTATATCTGTTACTTTTTTTTCAAATTATGGGTCAAATGGGATGAGGATGATGAAAAATGCTCATGAAAAGTCAAGTTGCTGTTTTTACTTAGATGATGATGATGATCATCATCTTCCTGAACATGATGATGCTTGAGATGATAATGATGATGTTATTCTTGTTGATATTAATGGCTGTCAACATTTGATTGTTACAATGAGTTTTTTTTACTTTCAGCAATCAAGATTTTTTTTTGATTTCTTGAAAAAAAATATCAGATTATCTCAAAAGTGATGAGGTAAAAATCAATGAGCAACAAGATGATGAAGTTCAGTTAACTGAGAGATCATCATGTTCATTTTCAATAATAACTTGACAATATTAAAGTGCTGATGAGTCTTGAAACTTGATCATCATCATGATAATAATGATGATGAGTTACAATTCATTGGATTAAGATTATCAATAACCTTTTCAATAGCTTCAATTTATATCATGTGAGGTTGATAATCATCATTATCATCGTTCCTAGGAAAATTTATATGGGTCCATCTTCATCATTTGCTTCATGATTTTTAAAAAAAAAATGATTAGGATGATAAAGGTCATTTCTTTGTATGGATTAAGGAAATTGTTACTCAAGCATCTTGACCATTTATCCATTGATTCTTGTTGATAACTCACATTTCATGAAGATGTACTTTCTCAGGTCATCTTATCATCATCATCATCATCTGATGTAATCTAATTCAAGGGATTCTTTTTGACCGAAATCTAAATTTGATTTCAAATTAGATACGGATAGTTGACCATCTTCAAATTATTTGCTCATCTATTTGTTTTCAGATTCTTATCATTTAACATTCGTATTTTCATCATGATATCTCATCATCTTCAGAACTTTGTTCAAGGGCTGAGAGAGAGAGAGAGAGAGACTGATTCCTAAAAGATATTCATGGATCCATTTCACAACCTTCAAGTTCCAAGAGGAACAGATATTTAACTTCATCTTTCATCCTTCATGAATGAGAAGATAAGTTTTTAAGATGTGATGATAATTAGATAGTCAGGTTAAAGGATGTTGGATGAAAGATGAAGATGAAGATGAAGATGAAAGATGCGGATGAGAAATGAGAAATGAGATACTGATGAAATGATAACTATCCAACTCATATGACCGGAAACATGGTATCTTGACCATTACACCAAGACAATGTTATTATATATATTTTTCCTCATCCTCATCCTTTTAATAGTTATCGTAGCATCCTCATCATCTTGAAAATCATTTCACTCTCATGAAGAAATAATATCCTTTCAATACCTTTTTAGAGATTAAGTTAACCATGAAATTATCATGACAATGAAAGGAAACTTTTCCATCCCAACCCTTGACTTGATGATAATAATACAATTAAATGATTCATTTGATTCATTCATTGGTTAGTAATTGATTGACAACTAATCATTCACATGAAATCAATTCAATTAAACTTTGATACTATCAATGAATGTGTAAGAGGATGAACAACAAAAAAAAAGTAAGTCACAAAATTAAAGTTAACTGAACAATCATCAATGTTGATTAAATTAAATTTCTCATGAAATCATCATGAACAATAGATTAAGATTCAAATTTCATGGTGAAAACTGGAAAGTTTCAAAAGATGTTGATGATTGCAAATATCAATTGGAATCAATTGAAAACTGAAATGTTACATCTTCATGTTTGCAAATACATAAAATTGAAAGCGATAAATTATCAGAGAAAAGCATCCTCATCATTATCGTTATCATCATCATCATCTCATGATTACCATGTGAAGAATATAATTTTCACCTTAAATTACTGAAGAAAATTCTGTCATGATGGTTAAAGTAAGAGGATAATAAAGAGAAAGCTATTTAACCTTTCACTTGATTCCAATGATGAAATTTTCATCTTCTCAAAACCACATCATTTCCTTTTCCTTCAAGCAATTTGAATCAATCATTTAACCTCAACCGTAAGCATCTTTTTCCTCATCACCATGAATTTTACCTGATAAAATGTTACAATTCCTATTTCTTGAGTAATATTTTCAGTGTTCTCATTTCAAATGAGTTATTTTCTATTTTTTTCTCTTCGAAAAAAAATAGAATCGCAATGAATTAAATTATGAAGAGAAAAAAGTTACTTGCAAATTTTAGATGAAGAGAAAATTCTGTGTGAATATTGCTCATCATTTTCATGGAATTTTATGAACTTCTAAATGAATTCTTGATTCTTTAAATATTCAGAAGAAGATGATGATTTCCTAATGATAGAATCATTCTCTCTAAGAGAGAGAGAGAGAGAGAGAGAGAGAGAGAGAGAGAGAGAGAGAGAGAGAGAGAGACTTCCTCTGTTGGTAGAATTAAATTACCAATGATAATCAATGTAATTCTTTTTCATCATCATCTTCATCTTCTTATGGTTTTTTTCACTTTCATCTTCTTTCCTCATCAATCTGAAACTTCATCATGATGAAAGATGATGAGAAAAAGGGATACGGAAAGATGGAGATAAATGTAACTGTAAATTGGTTTAAATGGGTTGGTAACAATTACGATGTTTTCTATTACTTTTTTTTTCTTCCTTCACAAGTTAATTAAAAGTGAAGGAGAAAAAATTTGATGCTAATAAAAGATGAGGATGAAGATGTTAAAGAGAAAAAAAGTTTTTTCGATTTTTCGATTTTTTCAATCTTCGTAATTTTTATACTTTCCCTTTTCTTTTCAATCATTTTCTTTTTCTTTTACAATTTAAATTATTGTGGTGGTAAATTTTTGATAATCTTGTTGATTGTTCTTGATTCTTTGTTAAATGATTGTTTGTATTTCGCTGTAAATTGGATTGATTTTGTTTTCTTTTCATCTTCTCATTTGTGTCTCTCCCTCTCTCTCTCTCTTTCTCTCTCTTAGGCCTAAGGTTTTACTCCGGAAAAAAAGGTAAAAAGTTAATCGGATTTAGTGTGAATCTTGATTGTAATTTTGTTACAATTGTTTCTCTATCTTTGTGTTGACTTTATTTTGTTAATCAAATTGACAATTTACTAGTTACTTTGGTTATCTCATCTCATCGACAATTGTTGATTGTGAAAACAAAAGGCAACACAAAACCTTTAGGGTTTAAAGTCATCAAAGTAAAGGAAACTCATTTAATCCAATTGATTTATTGTGATACTAAAATGGTTTGTGATTAAAGTCAATCAAATACATACATTCAATTAACTAAGTAAATAACACATTGGGTAAATGTTTAACTCTTACTTTTGTTTTATATTCTGTTAATTGTAAACAAATAATAAGTTGATTATCATCGTAACATTTGTTTACAATTAGAGAGTAAATTGAGTTGATTGATTTTCAAATTTGACGCTTTTTTTTACCTTTTGCTCCAATCAGACGATTGATTTGGTTAGAGAAAAGGATAATCCTGTTGAAGATTAACTGATTTTTTTTGTCGCTTCCATTACTAATCTATTTTTGTTTTTTCTCATCTTTTGTTTTCTGGTTAATTACAGGGAATAACAATTAATTTGGTTTGGAGTTTATTCATCTTACCTTAGTGACAAAATCGCCAAATCGGACTCTCATACTTTCGGGAATCGGGAAACCATCAAGAGTCCATGTTATCTGAGGTAACGGATTACCGGCAGCGACACATTTCAATGACAATGAAGGACCAGGATCAAGAGTTGATGATTTAAAGGTTTCCTTAAATTCAGGCGGATCATCTGTTGTTGATATAAATCATAATCATCATCATGAGCCATCATTAACAGGGGAAGAAAAAAAAATGATGATCATCATCAATTTGTGAACAAATGATCAACATTCAGAAGAAAGATGAGGATGATGATGACGAAGACAGAAGCCATGTTGTGACAAGTTGGAATTTAAATAAAGATGAAGCCATAGGACAAGGAGAAGAAGACAAAACATGAGAGAGAAAATTATTATTGGTGAGTAAAAATATACACATAAAGAAAAAGAGAAGATGAAAAAAATGAGGATGATGTAGGTGATTGAAGAAAAAAGAAGAAGATGAACAAAAAAAAACGATGATGAGTAAGAAATTGAGTGTTGAAAACAAGAAGAGAAAATGATGAGGGAGAGAGAGAGAGAATTTGGTAAGCGTTTTTTACTTCAAAAATTGGATAACTTAATAATCCCACCCTATCAGCTTATCATCCAACTCACTCTTCATGTGTGCCCATAGACACAAGAGAGAAATTTAAGTCTCCCCCCCCTCTCTCTCTCTCTGTTTAGGATCATCATCTAAATCTCACCCTCTCAATCTTATTTCTTATCATCCAAAATGGATCTTACCTTTTACACTCTCCACTTACCAATCTCTCTCTCTCTCTTCTTCTTCTTCTTCTTGTTCTTATAAATTGAATTTCATTGACATTTTTCAATTCTATTTCTATTTTTTATTCTATTCTTTTCTTAGGTTTTTCATCACCTTCTCTCTCTCTCTCTCTCTCCTCTCTGGTCAGAGATCCAAGTCAATTCAATTTTCGGAACAATCAGATGATTGGATTAAAAGGATTTGAAACGTTTGATTGTTGACAATTTACCTCTGATTTTCAATAGCGATGATGCTTGGACAGATTCATATTCATTGGAAGCGAAACACTGATAAGTGCCACCATGTTTACTTTTAACTGATTCAATGTGAATTAAATCTTTTGCCACCAAACGAATTCCTGATTCAGATGAATCTCCTTTAATTGGTTTATGATCTTTCTCCCAAACAATTGAATCTATTGGATGACCAGTAACGGAACAATTAAGGAACAGTGAAGCACCAACATCAGTTGATTCACTTGAAGGCACCAATTTGGCAGATAAAGGAGCTATTATTTAGCGTAATTTACGATCATCATAGTTAATTGTTGACGAGAAAAAGCAGAAGAGAAGAGAGAGAAAAATAAAGATATTCAATGAAGAAATATGATTATTAAATAACTTGTCATGATTCTAATGGATAATCTAAGTGTATATGAAAAGAGTAATTGGGATCAACATCAACTATCAAAAACCATCATTAGTTTTACCATGATGATGATGATTATCATCAGATTTATGGATCTCCAGAGGAATTAGGAAGACAACTGATTTCCTGGAAAAATATAATTGACAAAGAAACAACAATCAACCAAAGGAGAGCGAAGATCCCAAAGCTAATATCTATTTGAATGGAATTACATAAAATGCAAATCATTTCATCAACACGAACTTTTTGTTTTAACTAAATCACACTGACAACAGCTATTATATCATCATCATCAATTTATCATCTTTACTCCTCTCAATCTCTCCCTATCTCTCTCTCTCTCTCGCTCACTCTCTGTGTAATATAATCTATTATTTAATGTACGTTAGGTTTAACAAAGTGATTAATTTAACCTTACGTTTTGTTTCCCAATAATCAGCATAATAAGTGATCAGTGAAAAGTGATCCTCTAATCCATTGAGAAGAGAACATTTTCATTTTCAAACATCACTTGTCATCATTTCTCTCTCTCTCTCTCTCTCTCTCTCTCTCTCTCTCTCTCTCCTCTCTGGTCAGAGATCCAAGTCAATTCAATTTTCGGAACAATCAGATGATTGGATTAAAAGGATTTGAAACGTTTGATTGTTGACAATTTACCTCTGATTTTCAATAGCGATGATGCTTGGACAGATTCATATTCATTGGAAGCGAAACACTGATAAGTGCCACCATGTTTACTTTTAACTGATTCAATGTGAATTAAATCTTTTGCCACCAAACGAATTCCTGATTCAGATGAATCTCCTTTAATTGGTTTATGATCTTTCTCCCAAACAATTGAATCTATTGGATGACCAGTAACGGAACAATTAAGGAACAGTGAAGCACCAACATCAGTTGATTCACTTGAAGGCACCAATTTGGCAGATAAAGGAGCTATTATTTAGCGTAATTTACGATCATCAGTTAATTGTTGACGAGAAAAAGCAGAAGAGAAGAGAGAGAAAAATAAAGATATTCAATGAAGAAATATGATTATTAAATAAATTGTCATGATTCTAATGGATAATCTAAGTGTATATGAAAAGAGTAATTGGGATCAACATCAACTATCAAAAACCATCATTAGTTTTACCATGATGATGATGATGATGATGATTATCATCAGATTTATGGATCTCCAGAGGAATTAGGAAGACAACTGATTTCCTGGAAAAATATAATTGACAAAGAAACAACAATCAACCAAAGGAGAGCGAAGATCCCAAAGCTAATATCTATTTGAATGGAATTACATAAAATGCAAATCATTTCATCAACACGAACTTTTTGTTTTAACTAAATCACACTGACAACAGCTAATATATCATCATCATCAATTTATCATCTTTACTCCTCTCAATCTCTCTCTATCTCTGTCTCTCTCTCTGTCTCTCTCTCTCTCGCTCACTCTCTGTGTAATATAATCTATTATTTTAATGTACGTTAGGTTTAACAAAGTGATTAATTTAACCTTACGTTTTGTTTCCCAATAATCAGCATAATAAGTGATCAGTGAAAAGTGATCCTCTAATCCATTGAGAAGAGAACATTTTTCATTTTCAAACATCACTTGTCATCATTTTCTCCCTCTCTCTCTCACTTATCCATCCTCATCCTCATCTCCATCATTCTCAATTGTTTCTTGATACAAACCCAACCTGGATACTAACACGATCTCCACTGTGTATTTGATGTATGCTTTTCTTTTGTCAGGTAACTGATACAGGACACAGAGAGAGAGAAATATTCTTAGTCAATATTTTGACTCTCTCCCTCTCTCACTTACTCACTCTATTGTCTTTGAATTATATTTATGTTGATAATAATAGTAACATAAATATATTATATAAACAAGTGAAACTTGATCGATCATAATCAATAATATGAGAATGAAAAACTGTGTCAATATTGTTGAAAATGTAATATCAAGGTATTTACAGTTACCATTGATATAAGAAAGAGATATAAAACAATATGAAAGAGTGGGAGGTAAAATCTATCATGTAAAATGTTATATGTAAAAGCAATTACCAAAAGCTATTCTCACTTTTTCCTTGTTCTCCTAACCCCTGTAAGACAATTTTCTGTCAACAGGCTCGATGATTGATTTAAATTGATAATGATATATGATTTTGTAGATCAATTTGTTTTCTAACAATCTATTTTTCTCTTTCTTTTCTTTCTTTTTTTTTCATATATATTTGCAGGCATTCCAATGATCGGATCAATGTTACCACTTTTGCCTTATCGTTGGAAAGATCTGCGATGATGACAACCGATACTCATTACTGATGGAGAGAGAGGATGTTGATGATGATGAAGATAGCGAGTTAATGTTGGACCCTTTTCCCCATTTTCTCATGGTCATGACAATTGTTGTCAATCTTTACATGAGATTTTCGCATGTAAAGATAAATAAAGAAATGGATAAAGAATTAGGATGATGGTGATGATCCTGAACTCATTTCCAATGAATAGTCTACAACAACAACAACAGAATCAACAATAACTCAAGGGAACAATCAATTGATGAGGATGATGATACATCGCTACTCGTTTGATGGTGATGAAAAAACGATGAACATGATGATGGAACTGAAAGATTTCATTGAGAAAAGTGAAAATATGTATCCATGTAAAGGTTATGAAGAAGATGGAGAGAGAGAAATCTTCTAGACGATGGAATCAAGAAGTCGGATGAGGATAAAAGTTACGAAAAGAGATGAAGATAAAGATAAATGTTTACCTATTATGTTTCATACCAGGGAGAGTATGTTGAGCTTACTGATTTAAAACAATGGGAAATATTATTTACACAATTGTTTCCATCATTCATTTACCATTTTGTTTTCTGTTACTTTGATTGTTCAATGAATTTTACTCATGGTTCGTGATTTTTAGGTGTTTGGTCTGAGGGTTTTATCATGATGGTGGTGATTATCGTTCTCTCATACCTTGGCCTCACATGGAAAACAATTTACAAGAAATTGCTACTGATTCTCACATAAACATGACTTGATCTTGATGTGGAAAAGAGGAAATGGAAATCACAAACTAAATCATTCTCACTGTAAGTTGAATCATTTTTTTTTCTTTCGGTGATTTATTTGTGGTCATGATCATAATCTTATCATATTTTTCTATGGTTTTTTTCTTACAGAATCTTTTGGGTTTCCCTGTAAAAACATGAGATTTAACATGTTAAGTCAATGAACATATAGTGAAGATAATACAATTTACTGTTTTGTTTATCATTCCAAGAGACAATCAACCTTAATGTTGGATGATACTATCATGATGATGGGACTTTATTCAGGATAACGTGACATTTTTCATCATCTTAATCTGAACATTATTCCAGAATTTCATGTAAGTTTTTTGGAGAGAAAAGAAAAATTCTGGAAAAAAAAGTCAATATGTTTTTAGAATGAGAATCAGAATGAACTGAATTATTATTATCGTTGCAATTTAATGTTTATTTTTGTTTTAAAAGGCAAATCAATTTGTATCTTCTTTCACTTATTTATCATCATCATCATCATGATAAGTTTATCAATCATTCATCTGATTATCTAATAATCATGATCAGTAAGAGTATAAGGATAATATGATGATGATTGTTGGGATAAAACAAAACATTGACTCAAAGATAAAGATAATAATACTCATCATTCTGATTCTTATTCAGTATCATGGTAACTCTCATGTACCTCTCTTTTTTTTATATGTATTATATTTGGATAGTGAATATTAAGCTTTATCTTCATCTCATTTACTGACAAAATCACCTTGATCATTCATGATGATGATCATCAACATGGTTGAATATTATGTCTTTGGATTGAGGATGAAACATGAAAGTTGTGGGATCGATCAAGTGTTTAATGGTAGCCAATTATGTCAATAGCGACCATCATCATCTTAACTTGAACCTCCACCCTCATCCCTCCCACAGAAGCAAAGTTATCATCATCATCATTATCATCATGAGATGAAGAAGAAGAAACAAAAAAAAAGAGCTAAGCAAAGGATATATTTATATAACATTAGATATAAATACATTTCTAACTGTGTTACTTTCTTCCTCCCATCTTCATCTTCCATGATCATCTTCAATATTATTTCTCATCTTAACTCATTTTACCAAGTCTCAGAAAATGATTATGATGATATACTGAGAGAGAGAGAGAGAGAGAGATTCGATAACTACCTTCAACTCCCTGTCCTCATCATGAGATGAGACTCATCATCCTAATATCATATTGATTGTGAGCATCAGTTTTAATCTTCGAATGATGAACCCGAATAACAGAAACAGATTCTATTTTTTTTCATCATGATGATCATCATCTTCTTCTTCTGCATCATTTTTATCTCTTTTTTCCTCCTTCATCTCCTCCTTCTCCTCCATGGGATTGTTACTCCATGAAATCTATGGAGAAACTCACATTTTCCTTCTGAGGAAAAAATAAATGTTTACATTTTACTGAATATCTTAAAATCAATGTAACTGTTTTTTTCTTTTCTTTCTCTAGATTTCATTTCATTCCTTCAGCTGAGTCGGTGTAATACATTTACATGGTTATCCTGAGTTCGGTCAACCATTGATACATGTAATCAAATGGTTACCTTACCTTGAATTTTTTGCTTCCCATTTCACAGGAAATAAATTCAGCTGAACAACAGCAACGATTCAGTCATGCAGCCTTTTCCTTCATTCAGGTTATTCAAAAAGATTTTTTGTTTTTTTTTCTATTCCAAAATTTTGGAAATGATGATGATGATGATATTCATCATGGGAAATACCGTTACCTTTCAACGAATTCAGTTTGCCTGATGGTTTGTCATTGATGATGATGGTAAATCGTATTTCAAATAGGAAGAGGTAAAAATAAACCATTTAAAATAAATTATTTCATGGAAAATGATTCAAACTCAACAAGGAAAACAAAATTTTCATGATAATATATTTTTCTCTACCATTCAGTGAATCAGAACTTTTCTTATATATGATAATTCAATTGGAATCTAAAAATCAACAATGCAATCAATATAATAATTGGTCACATTAATCTCAAGAGATTCAAGGATTATCATCATGATCATTATCATGATTATCACATGATGATAACGACTGATGATTACAATTGCTGATCAATTGATTTTCCCTTTACCATGGATTCCAAGTACATCAACATTACCCTGATTAAGAAGATAAGTTGAAGAAACAAAAAACTTTCTCATTAACAATTAATAATAATAATATCCAAAAGTTTCCAACAACTCTTGAATTGATTCATATTTAAAATGCTACAATCAGTCATGTTTAATTAGATTGGGAGCAATTAACTTTAAGAATGATTTAAAGTAATTATCATTATTTATTATTACCAGAATAAGATAATCGTCCATTGATAATCAGCTCAGCTAATGTAATGATAACTAAACAAGCCAATTATCATGATTGAACTCAGGGTGGATTAAGATTAATTTATGAATATGATTATTAGATTATCAACAATTAACTCTCAAGCTGATTAATTCAATTATCACCAAGCAAATGCTCAAAAATGAGATGACATGAGTTGATAATAAGGATAAGGTTAAACTGTTGTTTCCATATCTGATACATTGTTATTCATCCCACCGGTGGGTGTTAATACCATTAACTGATTAATATGGAGAGAGGATTGAGTGAGAAGAAGTATAAAAAAAAGTGAGAGATAATCATGATTAAATCATTAATTCTCATGTGAATTAATTGAAACTGTCAATCAACGTGTTCTCATGGTGTTGTTGGATAGATAAGTGAACAACAAATTCATTGAATATAAATGGTTGACATTAGTTAACATGAGTTCTGATCAGGGTATTAATACCCACCCCAGTGGAAATCGGGATATCCTTTTACACTGAACTTTTCTCACCAGAATCAATCAAATCGTTTTCAAAGATTAACTCAAAATTAATCTCTGTAATTAACTCAGATTTACCGTTATACTATTTGAAACAAAGTATACATGATATGAATCATGAAATTATGATTCTCATGAAAATAGTTTCTTTATTAATCTAACCCCTTGAACTGAATCTGAACCATGGGAAATTTATATATCCAAATGAATTATGAACTTTTCCAACTATTAGAAACTTTTTATTTTTAATCATCATTTTGAAATCTTTTTTTTGTTCCTTATTATTTGCTAACAGTTTCTTATAACATTAATATTAACCTTTGAATAACTCATAGGGTATTCAGTGGGTATTCATGAGCTGTGGATATTTTAATAAGTAATGATTGAAGTTTAAAACATTGTTCAGTTGAAGCTACTCAAAGTAACCATTTAAATTGTTAACTTTAAATTACTTGCAACAATTTAAAAGTCTCTGAATTTGAAAGGTTCAACTTTTTACCTTGATAGTAAATCATATTTACGATTAATAATTCAGCAGTTGAATTTAATCAAAGGTGAATTATTAGATGAAAATTGTTTCCTACACTCAAGAGATGAAGATGAATTCAGTTAATTGTTGATTATTTACTCATTTTCTTGATAATCATGATGATACGTTGAAACGTTTTAATGATAATGTCCATCAGATTTTATGATGACCTTTGAAATAACAGTTTAAGAGGTTAAATGGTTTATTAATGGTTCTCTATGGGAGTTTGGTTGATGGTCAGTCTGATGAAAGTTTATTAAATGATGATGAAGATGATAAAATTGAAGATGGAATCGTTATCAGAATCATAACCATGATCATCTATCAGTTTGTATGATTGAAATTGAGGGAAAATGTTTTCAATGAATTAATTTATCAATGGATTTGTAATCATTCAACTTTCATTTATCATAATCAACTTTTCTTTCATTGTTTTATTATAACAATTAAGTTGAACCATTTCCGGATTGACCTGATTACATGATAATGAATATAAATTCAAGAGATAACCTGATGTTTATATCATCGAGTTGAAATGTTATTCTTAACTGATGCTAAATAAGTATTATCATCAAGTTGTATTGTCGATGCAAAATCTTTTTCCTACTTTATATCCACAGGAATTCATGGGATTCTGAGAGTATGAAAAAAACCAGATTCAAGGAGATCAATTGTTTATCCCATTTTCAGATGGAATCTGAACAATCTGATTCATTTTGTTTTCGTTTTTTTTTCTCGTTCTCTTTTTTTCCTCCTCATCTTCTTGATACAAATTAAAGGATAAACAGAGATGATACCCTGAAGATGATCATGATGATATTGAAAGTAAGTAACTATCTTTCCCTTTGTTAGTGTATGATGATAGACAAGTAGCAAGATAGAAACTGAATCATCATGAAAATTGAGAAAAAAAGGAATGACGAATACAATTTATTCTGTAATACTGAGGATACACAAACACATAGAATCTCAGTTGAGTCAAATTCATTGGAACTTTTTTCCTTCATCTCAAATTCTGGATTCAAGATCCTGAAAATTCAAGAAGTTCGTTGAGTTTAAATTTTTTTCCTCTTAAAATCTTGATAGTTTCAAGGATTATCTTGTTTCTTATTACCCTCTTTATCCATGATGATGATGATGATGAATTTTATCCTGGGATTGGAAATTGAAATCAGAATAATATCTAATATAAACCAGAACGATTTTCTTTATAAACTTGATCAGTTTTTCATTCATCTAATATTCATTTTCATCATGAATTCAAATCAATTCCAAATGAGCCAATGAATGTTGATTCATTTTCTGTTTATGGTTAAATCTTTCCAATTGTTTTGATTAAGTGATCAACAATTGATTGGTAAACAATCAAAGTTAATGGTTGATATAAAATCTGATAATTTGTTACCATAAATGAATTGTAATCACGGAAATGAAATTAATCAACTCAAAACAATCACAAGACTTTTTTTTATCTTGTTAATCATAACCTACAAGAAGAGGAAAAATCAATAATCATCTAATTGTTACCAAAAGTTGATTATCTTGATGATTAACTTTTAGATTCGTGTTGATTGTGAGCAAAAAAAAAGTTAATAGTTATCATTACAGTTATCATATAATTTACAGTTACTCTGTTGATGTAATTAATTGTTAACCAAGTGCAAGGAAAAAAACATCATAAAGCTAACTAATCATCATAACAAGCTATTGATTAATTCAAGTAATCAAATTGTTAACAATAAAACAAAAATTAGAGATTAGTATTGATCATAATGATAATATACTAAGGTAATTGTTTGTATCGTTGATTAAAAAACCATGATGATTCAGACTCTATTCATGATCATTCATGATGAAACATTTTCCCACCTTGAAAGTCATTATCATGTGTTGATATTACATTGATTTATATTGAACAATATAAATACAATCTTCATGCAATCTCACACACTCTCTCTCTCACCTTGATGATAATCATCATGATGATAGTAAATCTCACATGCATATGGAGAGGATGAAAATTCAGAACTTGAAAGTTACTACATGATGGAAATGTTACCAAAAGCCACAATTGGATACGCTAGAGAGGTTATTCAGCAATGTTTCAACTCTCATGATGTTGGAACTTTTTTTTTATATCTTTTCTATTTATTCCGATATCACCCAGGTTTTTTTTCTCTCACTCCATGTTGTAGCATCTTCTTTCATGATGTAACATGGGGCTGAAAGAGGATATTATCTGGGGATAAAGGAAGCAAAGTGTGTGTGTAAATTGTTACAGAAAAACATGGAGGAAAAAAAAAACTTCACCAACCTTTGAATTGAGACCAGAAACTAATAACAAAAAGCAAGAAAAACTTTCTCTCTTGAATGAACAGGTAAATAGGAGATGAAAGTTCTGATATTATTCAGATAGTGATAATCTAATGGCAATTGCGTGAAAATCAACATAAAAAAAGGTGATATTATTAATAATTGATACATAATATTAAAAATCGTACGAATTGAATTCTGACAGTGACAACGCCTTTAGTATTATTATTATTATTCATCATGTTGAGTTTCATTATCATGAAACTTTTACTCAATTAACTATTTCTTTCATAAACTCTACCAGTTGTCTGAGTAAATTGTATTGATATAATCAAATGGAAAACTAACAATTATATTCACAATTTATCTCACAATTAAGATTCTCTTTCGACATTTGAATAAGTTTTCCCTCTCTCTCACCGCATCAATCATGATGATTATTATTATCATTCTCATTTTAGATATTCTCTGAGAGATTTTCATTTACATCAAGGTAATCTGAATCTCTATTTCCAATGAACAAGAACTTTTTTTTGTTCCTTTAATGGTCAAGTTCATATTTAGTATTCGAAGTTGAACATTTTGAACCTTTTCTGTTCACGATTACATGTAATTTACTGTCTACATTAATTGAGTTGTTTAAGTTTCTCTCTCTCTCTCTCTCTCTCTCTCTCTCTCTCTCTCTCTCTATTGGAAGACAATTATCGAAATTTGTAAGTGGAACAAGAAAAAAAAAGTTCAATGAGAATCTCAGAACTTCTCAGAGCGTTAATTTCAATCATCATGTTAAAGTTGTTCATTAATGAAGGTATAACAATCGTAACTGAATATTTATCTGTTTATTTTCTTCCCCTGGAATTGAAATCTGTGATTAAACTTGTAATTCTTTTATATATATTCATGGGAAAAGAATAAGAGGCAAAAGAGATTTGATTAGAAAGAAAAAAAGTTCAGAGAGAGAGAGAGAGAGAGAGAAAGTTCCAAGAAGAAAATTAAGATGAACATGAACAACTCAGAATTTACTTTAAACTCTCTTATTCTCCCTTTTCTGGAAATTCTGATAACTCACCGAGATTCAGAATAAAGAATAATTTTAATTTTCAAATTATACTAATGGTTCAATTCTCTATCTCTCTCCCTATTCCTCTCTTACTATCTATCATATCCACCTTTCTCTCTTAGAACTCTAAACGAAATGTTAAGAGTAGAATCACCATGGAGAATGTAAAATTATGCATACATGGTAAAATGGAATAATATAAATAGGATAACATTTAAATACTTTGATTCATTGTCGAACTAATTTTTCATTTTCTCCTGTGAGTGTTTACCAGAATTCTCATAGACAGAAAGAAACACAGAATTCAACTTATTAATATATTTTTCCAAGTTTCATCCCGCCATTTTCCCCTTCGAAAACTCAACATCATCAGGGTAATTTGATATTCGATTATTAATGTTCATAAATATACTACACACAATGAGGTTTACAAATCACCTTTTCTCTCTGTTAATGATAGAATAACATATTTATTATCGAAAATATAATATTCGATATGTACAGAGTTGATTATAAATCTGGACAATCAGTCAGAACCATGAGAGAACATGATACATGGAGAGAAATTTTCTATTCCATCTCATCTTTTTTTCCCACTGAAAATCATATTAATTCTTGTATTTGTCAGGGAGAATGTTAAAAATTAACAACAATCATAACAGAATTAGATTGAATCATGATTAATGATTGAAAATGTTCTGAACTTTTTTTCTGCTTCTTCTTTTCTTATATTCTATGAAATGAAAAGGAAGTGGAAAAGATCATGATACTGAGAATTCTGATTCTGATGATGATGATGAAAATGTAGAAAGAGTCATGACTGTGGAAAATGAAGAGATGCTGGGTGAGAGTGAATTCTAACACTCATGAAATGAAATGAAAAATCAATGAATCAGGATAAGAGTAAATTTGGAAAAATGTTTTGCAACTTTTTACTCTTACAAACGAATCAATAAATATCATGGTAATCATAATTAAGATTATCAATGGATTACTAATCAATATTGATTAGCATCAGAGCCATTCAGTGTTCACAGAGTTTCATCATCATCATCATGATCAATTCATGGATTCAGGTTGTTTCAAGATGTTTCCTCTTATTTATTTCTTTGGAAAGCTAATCGAGAGGAGAGAAAATTATTCAGGAGAAAAATTTTTTTTTTCTTCTCTTTGAATCAATTGTTCTGTATGAACAATTTCAAGATATTATCATGATTGTGATGAAAGTCTCTCTCTCTCTCTCTCTCTCTCTCTCTCTCTCTCTCTCTCTCTCTCTCTTTCATGATGAAGATGAGGATGATATGGTTTCTGTTCTGGAAAAGGGGGAAAGAAAATATTATCACATGAAGATAATAATAGACAATTTAAGCAACTGTTTCCGGTTCTTGTTGATTGTTCAGTTGTCTACAAGGTCTTTCCACCATGATGATAATAATACTCAGTTATGTTCATGGGAAGTTGAAATTGGATAACAGTGAGTAGATTAGATTGGACATTCTTATGGACAGTGGAAAGTTAAATACACACTTAAGATGATGAGGATGACAAGAGAAATCTTTTTCTCTTCTCATCATCTTCTTGTCCACCTTAATCTTTTATCATCCAACATTTATCCTCATCAATTTTATCATGTGTTTCCACCATTATCCAGGTGAGAAAGCATATTTGATAAGGTTCATGGAAACCAATGGTCAGTCTGATAAATAATTTACATCAATACAGTTCAAGTCTTTATCTCAGGAAAACTTGATGATAATCAAATGCCAACATCAGAATCATCATGTTCCAAGAAACTGAAACTGAAACTCTCACTTGATCAACTCTTTATCTGCACTTTCAAATGAATACTTAGTTTCAATCATGATGAGGAAAAAAACATCTACAATAATTATAAATAATGATCCAGGGTAATAATTAGATAATTTTTTCCATCATAATATATAAGACATCAACTGAATTATTATTATTTTTCATGATGATGATAATGTTTCATTAGCTCTTATGTATCAATGAGTTGAAGTTAACTTGATATCATTATTGTGATTAAATATTTACTCACTTTTTTTTCATTATATGAAAAAAAAACAATAATAATGATAACATCATTTTCATGAATCATGATGTTCATGATAATCAGATTGTTCAGTAATTCAGGTAATGAGAAAATAGAGACAAAAATTAGAACATTTTCTCTCTTTATATATCATGATAACCAAATGGATGAAGGTGATGATGACAATGATGATAATAATTGTCACACAATACTCAGGTTACACTGGGAGACCTTCAGAACCTGTGGTGATAATATTGATGAGGATAAAGAAGATGATAAAATAAGATGATCCTTGGAATCGATATGAACATTGTTTTTTTTACTGACTCAATATTGACTCTCTCTCTCTCTCTCTCTCTCTCTCTCTCTCTCTCTCTCTCTCTCTCTCTCATATCAATTCAGTTATATTATCATTATTTATCACCTGATTGTATTGTTAACCATTCATGATGATCATGGATGATAAAAGGACGATGATATCTTATTACAGGGGAAACTTATTCAATTACCATTGATGATTTAGTAAAAAAAGATGATAAGTTAACAACTGAATTAAGGGAAACCTTTTTCAATAATAAACATGGAGAAAAATTTGATTATCAATAAATAAACGATTAATTTTGATTATTTGGTCTATCGAAATGTGAAATTAGAACTGGAAATTTGAAACTTTACTCTCTTAAAGTGTTTCTCAATGGATTTTAAATTGTTATCAAGTTTTCGAGTTGATAATAATTGTCGACAATTAATATTACTGATTGTTAATATTGATGTTATTGTTTTTCTGCTGAATATACAACTAACTTGATAGGTTACATGTTCCTATGGGCTAAGTTGTTTATCTTTGCTGATATTTGAACAATCACAAAATAAGATAGATAATCAATCTTATCAGAATCTGAATGGAATGACATTAATTCAAAGATATAACACTTTCTAATAATAATAACATTGAGTAGTTTTTGTTTTGTTCAGAATGAACCACAATTTTATGCAAATTGTACCTATTAGTATGTTAATCAGAACTAATGTCATTCAGATAATTTTCCTTCAATACAACTGAACTTTATATCTTTCTCATGAGTTTCTCATGATTCTCTTTGAGTTGATGGTGAAGATGAAGAAATGACTGAGAGATAAAGAGAGAGAGAGAGAGAGAGAGAGAGAGAAAGGATTCTCTAGTAAAACTATTAGCTGAGAGAAGCATTTTCATGGCATTCAATGGATATTCATGATGATGGTGATTATAATCGTTCTCATGATAATGTTATTGAAAATGTTGAATCTGGAACTTTCTTTCTTTATGTAATTGTAACAATTAACTTGATTCTTATTTGAGATGTAATTTGACAGACAAAGTTTCATTCAATTTTTTGCTATTCCATGTAATCAGCTGATCCATGGCAATTGATTTTTACTCCATAATCATGGTTTGATAATCAGAGTAAATTTCATCATCATAATGGGAAGGAATTGTTATTATATAACAAGAAGCGGAAGGAAACTAAAAGAAGAAGAAAAAATATTATCATCATCATGGTATTTGAATGAGAAAAGTTCAAGAAAAGTGTCAATATTTCATGATGAGTTTGAATGAGAAGAAATAAAAAATTATCACCAATGTGAAACTATTGATACATTTTTTTATTGGAAAGAAAGATGAAAATAACAAATAACTTGAGCACCCGGAGGGCTTATTTTTTCATGGTGATGAAAAATGAAACAATAATAACAATAACATCATCATGAGATATAAGGTAAAAAGACAAATAAGATTGGGTGAAAAAAAAGTATAACAGATTAACTTTCAGGATGAAATCGACTTTTCTTTCTGCAAGGTGATCATTTGTATCAAATCATCATGATGCTGATCACAATTCCAACTGTCAGAGTGATATAAACATGATGAAATATCATAATATATGATGAGGGGGAAAAGCTAAACAAAATAATCTGAAACTATCCCCTGAGGGTATTAGATTAGTCTGAACATTCAACTGAACCGCTTTCATTATATTACATTTTAACAATGGAATCAAAAAGACAATTGAAAAGAGAGTAAAAAAGTTCTGACAATTATTATAATCATGATGATGATTATGAAAGATAAATGATGAAGAGGAAATAATTAGCACAATTTAATGATTAATTAAGTGTAACAACAGTGCCTACTTTTTTTCTGGGGGATAATCATTTTGAGTCGATGAGAAGTGGGAACAAAAAATAGAGAGAGAGAGAGAAAGGAAAAATAATTGATATTCAGTTGGGTGAATGATGAGGATGCTGAGGATGATGAATATGTTTTTCCTGGGGATGAGCATCTCATTTGAACTGATTTTGAAATCAATTTAATCTTGATTGAGAAACTGTCAGGGATGAAAGTGGGTGGAAGATGATGAAGATGAATAATTTTCATTGAGGGAATTGATTGGAGATGAAGATATTTGTTCAGATGATTAAGAAGAGAGAGAGAGAGAGAGAGAGAGAGAGAGAGAGAGAGAGAGATATGAAAAATCGTATTAGAAAAATGGAAATTTGTAAATGAGGTGAAATCGGTTATCAGTTATCACTTCTGATCACAGGTCATTCATAGTTTAGGATTATCTCTCATCCATATCATCATCATCACCATTATGTTTCATCATCTTCATCCGTTTTCCTCTTCCTCTTTTCCTCATCATCCTTATCATGTCGCACGCACTTTCAAAACAATGGAAACAATCATGTTGATGATGGTTAATGCATCTCACTAACAACTTTCATCTTCCATTATCACCCCTTTAGTATCTCTCATCCTCTTATGCATCATCATCATCTTCCTCTTCCTTATTCTTATCTTCATAAGTATTGATTTGATTAACTCTTTACTATTATTATTTCTTATCTTCTTCATCCCTGTCATCTTGAAAAACTCAGAAAATGATGAGTTTCCTTTTTCCATGAGAGAGAAAAAAAAATTCATGATAACCACACACTTACTCATCATCATTCTCATCATCTTGTTATCATCTGAAGCTGTTGTTATTGTGGCTTAGGATGAAGATGAAGAGGTGAAATTTCATTTCATGTTAGTGACACTGATCATCATCATCATCATCATCATCATCATCATCATGTAAACTGAATATTTCGTTGCCATGGGAAATTTTTCTTCCTTCATCATCCTTACCCACTATTTTACTATTTAAACACTTTGTTTTCAACCAAATTTCATTTCTAGTCATTAAAACTACCAAAAAGATACAAATACCTTCAACTCATCTGAGAGAAACATGATAATTATAAAAGTAATTAATGATTCTTGGTTATCATCATCTAAATTTTATTGCGATTAAATCTCATAACCATTTAAATGTAAATGTTTACAATCAAATCAAGGAATCGGTCTCATGGTAACTTGGAAACAATCAATTGATTATTTAGGTGGTTTTCCGAGTCCGATCAGTTGCAACCTCGAAAATGGATTGAAATCAATTCATCATTTCATGAACATAGATCAAGATGATGAGCAATTGAATGAATATCGGGAAAAAACTTTAATTTCACATTATTGATTCATGGTTATCGACACCATGAGGTTTGTATATACTTTTTCATCATCATTATAAATCAACCATCATCTTCTTTCATCATGTTCACATTTTCATCTTCATCTTCATCATTAAACAATTGAACATGAACCACTTTCTCATTCAATTCCCACTTTCCCTTATTTTTTTCCTCTCTCTCTCTCTCTCTCTCTCTCTCTCTCTCTCTCTCTCTCTTACCAAAATCACAGAGAAATAGGAACAATTTTCTCCCTTTTATCCACCTTCAAGCCGCATCCTTTTCATCATCATTCTATCATCATCATGGAAATGATGATAAAGATTCCGATTATTGGAAAGAGTTGGAAAAAGATTTCAAATAATAGTTTTCTCAGCTGAATGTTACAAATAAAAAACGAAAATTTTTTCTTTCGAAGATACATTTTCTCTTATATTCTTACCCTTGGAATTCTCAGTCTTCCATGATGATATATACAATCGAATACACATATAATTCATATTCCGGATCATTTTCATCTTCTTTTATCATCATCATCTTTTCTCGTTTCCTTTACAATGTTACGATTTCCATACAATCTCATCCTGATTGTATTTCGTTTCATTCCTCAAAAGTCATTCCCTTCAAATGCACACTGATAATTTTCACATTCAGTTATTGGCAATCGGGTGTATTCAGGATGGTGAAAATTTCACACTCTCCAAATGCTAAAAGTAACTGAAGATAATATAATAATAATTTCAAGATCTTTCTCTTTAACTTTGTGGTTCGAATTCATTGGAATCATATTTCTATCTCTCTATCTCTCTCTCTCTCTTTATCAAATCTAAAGAAAAGAAAAAGTTTTCTTTTCGAAATTTGTATCACCATGATGATCATAATCATCTCTACGATTATTATTATCGAAAAGGAATTGAAATTTTTTCGATTTTTCTTCCTCTTCTTATATTTTGGAAGAAAACTATTGTTATTCCAATTCGATAGATGAACTTTTTTCCACCAGAAAAAGAAACTTTTCTTTCACTTGAATAATTTTCTCTCATGAATTCTTCTCTATGATAATAATAATAGTCACTGAGATTTTTATCTCATCATTTTCATGGTTATTTCTAAGAGAAAGAAGGAGAAATTTCTCTCTATTTCCTATGGTGCGAAAATATTTCAATATTTTCCATTCAATTCTTTTCATGTGAAAGTGATTAAGAAGTCATTTCTCATCTCTCGAAATCAATCGAGTTCAAGTATCGAAAAACTTTCCCCTGATTCTCAAAAAAAAACGAAAGATAATAATAATAATTGTTATTCAGGTGAAGTTGGAACTTTTTTTCCTCTTCAATTATATCCTTTTCCAAAGACTTGACTTGGCTTGAGAAAGCTGAAAGTTCATTCCAACGAGAGTATAATATCCAAATCAACGATTGAGAATACATATCATGTATATTATATGATGGAATCTGATATTGATTTGAGAATGGGAATTTTAAAATTCTTACCTCGGACAAGAAGCTTAGTTTCAGCTCTTTCCTCACCAATGGTGTTATTCACCTGGCACACATAGATCCCTGAATCTTGAATTTTAACACTGTGAATGAACAAAATCCCATCGGAACGGGTAAACCGATCATCGGGTGTGATAATTTTCTCAGTGATTGAATCTTTTTTCAGCCAAGTGTAGGTTGGAACCGGATATCCCTGAGCTGAACAGGCAAGTATCACGGTATCACCTTTAACAGCCAAAACGATTGATCTTATATCACTAATCCTGGGACTTATCACATTATGAGATTCTGAGAGTAAATCATCAACCGGATAATGGATGCAATGGATTAAGGAAGAAGAAGAAGAAAAAGAAAAAATCAATTTAGAATTCGCTGAAACTTTGAAAATTGACTTGAATTTCATGTCTATCATGTTACATTATTCAATTTGGATGCTCATGAATCTTGAAAGAAAAATTATCAATAATAAGTTGCTGATAATTATGCCAACTAGTATTTACAGTTATCAAAATACTATCGTTAATGTTACTCATTTTTTTTCTGTTCATTCATTATCGTAATCATCTTGGTGATCATCATACCCTTGATTGTTACATATTAACTGTGATCATCATCATCAATTTTTTTTCTTCTTCACCATCATCTTGATATCTACAAATCTCTTATTTTTTTCCTCCATTTCATTTTCACCTTCATGTAAATATCATCATGTTCATCATCATGTTGATATAATTTGAGCTTCATCTTTTTTTCTTGCTCCTCAACAATGTTAATGATAATCATTATCATCAGTATCTTGGGTCTTGATTGTTTGTATGGTTATAATATATGTGAAAATGATTTGGTAACCATCAAGTCATCTCTCAAGGGAGGAGTAGGGATGAGGATCAAGATGATAAAAGTTAGAGAGAGAGTAGGATAACAAAAGAAACATGGAAATGTTGTTGTTGTTGTTGATAATGATGATGAGTGGATGAGGATAAAAACACAGAGGGAAAAGTTTCCCGCTCTGGTGATTTTTAATAAAACCCATAGAAGAAGATGAAACTTTTCCCACTTTGGAAAAAGATTATCGCTATCATCTTGTAAAAGATGAACATGTTGAAGAAGATGATGATGATAAAGATGATAAACTTCGGATGATAATCATATTGAATCCTCTTGAAAACCTAATCTTCTAATTTCTATATCTCTTCAACACTTTGTGTATTCATTATTAATTTCAATCTTCTCGACTTATATAATATCAACCAGCATTTCGGCAAAAAAAAACTCCCATCGAAACTTCATCTTTTTCATTATCACTTTTCCATCTCATCTTAATTTTCTGCTATTCCTCATTTTCAGCGTAGTTAATAATCTTGCTCATCATCACTTTCACAAATAACGGTAAAAAAAAAACTTATCAACATCATCATTATTTCAATGATTATCATCACCTCCCTCATCTCATCATCTTCTTATATTTTTAAATAACATATTATATCTTTATCATCATCATCATACCTTCATCCTCATTATGTGGTTCATGGTTTTTTATTACATGTTGACTTTAAGGTTTTTTTTTCTTCTATTCCTTATTCAGTTTCAGAACTTTTTTTCTCTCTCATTTTCCTCTTCCTAGTGGTTTTTTTCCACCTTCTAGATGCATCATTTTTCAATCTTCCTCCTCCTTACTTATCTTCATCTTCCCTTAGGGTATTAAAAGAATACCTTCTGCTAATACTTGATAAATGTTCTACATCTTCTTCTTCTTATATTTTCACCGAAAGAACTTTTTTTTCATCACCTTTTCATCATTTCTCTTTTTTTCCCTCTCGATGATTTTGCTTCTTCATCATTCCCTGTTTGGGAAGTGCTGCTTTTTTTCACTTCCATGAATATTTTCATATATAAGTATTGGTACTATTTAAGTTCTGTTTGTGTTTTTTTTTGTTCTGTAGTAAAAAAAATTCTGCTGACAAATTGAATATTATATCATGATAGAATTATGATAATCATGAATGCTTTTCTGGTGATATAAAAGACAACGAAACAAATTTCATGAGCAATGTAATTGTTAATAAACTGGTTACCATGATGAGTGATGATGATTGAAATTAGCTAAACAACTTTTCACTTTCTTCACCTCTTTCTTACTCGTTCACCCTGAGGGTAAATAAATGTTTCTGATGTTTTTCATGGTAAACAAGATATAAGATACATATAAGATAATATATCAACCGAAACTTGATAACATTCAACTAATATATATACTAACTTGTTATCTACTCATTATCATGGTTCAATTTACTCATCATGATGATCGGAAATTCATGTAATACTCAGGGAATAGGTAACAACATGTAAACCTTAAGGTCGTTTGACCTTTCAACTTACCTGTTACTATAAGTTTACCCGCTGTTGAGCTTATATATGTTTCACCAGTTAATCTGTGTCTTGCTCGACATTTATAACTACGTTGATTCAATGAACTGTCCACTTGGCGGATATAAAGTTCACCGGTGGGTAACATTAGATATTTACTATCTCCTATGGAAGATGAATGATTTATCACATAAGTTGAAGGAGGTTGGATTACAATCATTGTTTGATCCTCAATCCAAGCAGAGATTATTAAAAAATCTTTGATAAAATTTGGTATATTGCATTTGAATACAACGGTATTGCCTGAGATTACATGTTCATCCAGAACTTCAATGACAATATTTTGTTCAGCGACTGTAAAAAGACAGAGAATGAGAAACGATTACAATTAAGCTGATTATTGTGTATCATAGTGATGCTTCATCACCATGAACATTAATAGGTAACAATTAACCAAATGATCAACATGAAACAATCAAATTAAAAACACTTCTAATTGAATATTAATTAGACTTTCATTTCATTTGAAATTGAATTGATCCAAATTGTTTTGATCAACTTTTGTTTAGCAAAAACTTTTGATTGATTGATTTTATTGAGTAATAAGATGATGAGATTGATTTATTATTAATATCATGTCTAATTGTGGATTGTAATTGTTACTATAATAATGATGATACAGTTAATTTAATTTAATAACAACAAATAATCAGTTAATATGATTAAGGTGATTAGAGATGATGGTTAAGCGTAACAAAGTCAATGAAAAATATCAAAGATAATCAACCGAATCAAACTTAATTAGACAAAAGCAAATAGCCAATAGAATCAAATTATCAATAAATAATCAACTAATTGTTGATGTTTTATTGTTGTTTTATATCAAAAGTTAAAGGTAACAAGACAATTTATCAAAATTAGTTAATCTAACAGATGATCATCATCATTATCAACAAGATAATATCATGATGGGAAAAAACAACATGAGACTTTTGCAATTTGACCAGTGGTCAAATTAAAAGGCAGATAAATTAGTTATTGAGGACAAATAATGATCATCCTAGTCTGAAAAGTGCATCGGTTGAATATTAATAACAATCAAGGAGCATAAATAATAACAAAAAAACTTCATTAATGATGAATGGAAATGATTGAAAAGATGAAGATGAAAATAATGTCAAGCTGATTTTGCCTTTTGTCTGAAGGTGTAATGTTATCAAAGGGAATCAAATCAATGGATGATTATGATAATAATAATGTAACATCATTTTTCATGATAAATTGTTATTGTTGTTGTTTTTTTCAGACCAATTTAGGTTCAGGGGATGTGGAGGGTGAGAAGACAAATAAATGAATGAAGTTGATGTATTGTTATTATCGTGGTGAAGATTCAACTTGTATAACGGTAAATGTGAAGAGATTTGGGTTTGGTGGTGCTTTTGATGGGGAGAACCGATTATGAGGCCGAAAAAAAAGTTGGGCAAATATTCAGTTTACCGTTGAATTTATTGATCTACAGTTTTCTAAGAATCAAATTCATGGTAGAAAATTATGGAGAAGATGAGAGCAAGGGTGGAGTGGAAAGTGATGAAGGCTTTTTTGCAGTTTTCTCTGCTTTGTTTACTGTTTCATCTGCTTTCAAGGTGGCTCATATTTAGATTATATTAGAAATAAGTATTAGTCAAGTTAAATTTTTCTCAACCCACCGTTATCATCATAATCTACATCAAAATAAAAACATCAACTTTATGTCCTCTCCGCAATGAGAGAGGGAGGGAGAGAGAGAGAGAGAAGGAAAAAATTGCCTGATAGTATAAAGGACAAAATGAGGCGTAAGATATTTTCGTATATGAATATGATGAAAAAAAGTTCTGAATGTGAAATTATTACTTGGGTTAGCCTCGAAGAGAGGGTTAAGGGAATGGTTGATGGTGATGAGGATGAGGAAGAGGAAATAAATAAAAAGAGGGCACAGAGAGAAAGAGAGAGAGAGAGAGAGAGAGAGAGAGAGAGAGAGAGAGACATTAAGACACAAAGAGACAAATAAGAAAAATTCATGCAACTTTTATTACTCTTACTATGCAGAGGGAAAAACTTGCAAGGAGGACCATTAAGGTCATCTCCCTCCCTCTCTCTTTCTTTTCATCCTCATCTTCCACTTTCATCTTTATCATCATCTCTTTGCATTCATTTCTCTCTCCCTCTCTCTCTCTCTCTCTCTCTTTCTCTAAATGATGATCGATGCAGACACACTGAGTGAAAGATGAAAGAGGAGGAGGAAAAGGAGGAAAAAGATGATGGGGATAAGATTGTTAAGATACTCGAACCGATTTTTGCTTCGATGTTCTGTTTAGGACATTTGCTTATCGAAATGAAGTTATATCCATCGATTTTGTATCTTCTTTGATAAACATTTTTTTCAACCTCATATCGTAAATATTAGTTGGAACATTAGATGAGAATGAGATCTTTTGTATTTCCTTGGCTCAAAGATTAAACTTAAATTGCGATTCCAGATAATCATGATTACGATTAACTTGATTGTGTTAATCATCTCAATTTATTTAGATAAACATCAAAAGGTAGATCATATCTGACCCTCTAGTCTAATCAGCTGTCTAGTTAATTCATTGTGATAATGATCAATATTTAATATCGTTGATTAGGAGTAACTATTGGACTCATCGTGAGTCTTTTGTTTTGTTAATCATTTTGAGATTATTATTATTATCAATTTAATCTCACTTTGGATCTCTAATTGATCTCTTGTGTATTAATAGTAAATGTTGGTGTTGTTGTTGTTGTTGTTGATTGGGTCAGTTTTAGTTTATGTTTCAGGTCCAGTTGAATTCTGAAATGATTTTAATGATTCATTGTCCAGGGGGAAATGGTGATGATGTTAATGATGATAACTGAACAGAGATGATTGTTTATCAATCAGAATATAATCAAAATTAATTGTACAATTTAAGTGTGACTCATACTGGCTTTTTGCTGATCTACTTGGTTATTTGTCTACTTCTCTCTGTCTCTGTTTTATCTTCATCTTCATCCTCATCTTCATCATCGAAATCATCATGTTCATATGTTCATTTTCAGCAGTTTTTTGATGTTAAGATAAAAAAAGAATGAGAGATGAAGATGAGACAAAGTGACAGAGAAAGTGGAAGATAAAAACAAACAGAGACAGAGGATGATAATGATGATGACAAAAGATTGAGAGAGAGAGAGAGAGAGAGAGAGAGAGAGAGAGAGATGATAAATTTGACAGGAAAAGTTGATGAATGCTGAGATAATCTGGACACAGAATTTTTCAAATTTCAAATATATTTTTCATTCTTTTTCAGGGTAAATCAGTCATTCTGATTGTTCACCAATAAACTTTCATCCTATTCTATCAGAGATGTTAATCCATTTTCCGTACACTTTGACATCTATTTCATTTGAATGAATGACAACAATTAATATTCATGATTAAAGGACAATTAATATCATCGATCATTAATTGTTGAAACAAATGGTATAATTCATGGCGGAGTGTTAATAAAGTTTAGGTGTCAAGTCTATGTCACCAATTGGGATTTATAAGATAAACTTTATCCAAGTCAAAAGCAAAAAAGATTAGTAAATGAGATTAATGGATTATGAGAGTAGAGGGATTAAGATTATATTGATATTGATTTAGGATTATCAGGATTAGTTTATTGAAGACACATGAATGTGAATATTTCATGATAGCCAAAGAGAGACTACAAATCTAGATTGTTTTAAATAATAATCAACAATTAAGCTAATCACTAATCAGAAATGATAAATCAACACAATTTAATCAAACAATCACAAAGTAAACTATCAAAGTATCAACAATTGTTAATTAACACTAATTGATGAGAAGGATTGAAAATGGATGAATATATTTTCTCAGCTCATGATGATGATATTATCATGAAATATTAATAATAAGGATAAAATTTGAATTCTCAAGATTCCAAACTGATTTTTGATTCAGTTGAAATCTCCTGAGCCTTTGAAACTTTAAATTGGTTTTAATTAGTTTCCGGTTAAAGTTATCATGATAATTATCATGGAAACTGATTAATTTATGAAGACACATGAAATTATCTAACTGATTACATGTGATATTATTATCATTGAATTTAGGGGTAAAAATGTTTCACACTCAAAGTAAATATAATTAACTTTAATTGTTAAGTAAACTTTGATGATTCAATGTAATCAAATACTGAAATAATAATGACATTATTATTATCATTGTACAATTTAAGGGTAAATATTATCTTTAGGGTAACAATGATAGTTGGTTAGGGTGGGGTGGGTGGTGAAGGGAGTGGGTTTTTGGAAATGATAATTCAACAGAGTTTCTAATGATAACTCAAGATCTATTATCATCTATAATCTCATGGTGATTATCATCTGATTCCAGGTTTTAATCAGAAATCAATTGAACTGTTTTCGCTTTTTTCTTGATGATACTCTTGACCGGTGGGTAAGATAATCATTAGAAAAGTTTTTATGGTCAGAGGAATGATTCCACTTTTTTTTCATCTTCTTCTCTTTTTTTGTTATGTTGGAAAAAGATGATGATGATTATGGTGATGATGATGAGTAGGAGTGGGTGAATGGTCATAAAAGATGAAGATGAGCTGGAAAAAAAGGAAAGTGTAATAAAGACATAAAAGGATGAGGGAGAGAGGGAGAGAGAAGGGCGAAAGTGGGAGTTATTAAGGAAGAGAGAGAGAGAATAGGAAAATAGAGGAAAAAGATTGGAAAACCGTTGGCAAAGTGACAGATAAAGTGAAAGAAAAAGTTTAAGTCAAGATGAAAAGATGAGGATGAATATGAGGAAGAGGAAAGAGGCAAAAGAAGGAGGATGAGGATGGAGGAGGAGGTTGGGAAGATGGTGAAAAGTTCCGGTCCAATAAAGGCCAATAAAGTTGAAGTGAAATAGAAAAAAAAATTCTAACTTGATTGTTGGTTACTTTTCTTGATGAATGTTGGTGTTTCACCATTTTCAATCGAGAGAGAGAAAGAGAGTCTCATCTTCATGTCATCTATTTTCATCTTCAAAATGGATGAAGAAAGAAAAGAAACATAAAAAACCCTTTTTTCATATTAGGAAAAAAGAGAAGCTTTTGTCTTTATTAGTTGAAGAAGCCGAAGAAGAGATTTCGATAAACGGATTCGCTTTATTTTCAGTGACTAAGAGTAATTTAAGATGATGAGGATAAAGAATGATGATGATGAGGAAGAAAGAAAGACTTAGATATGAAAGAAAGTGTAAAAGAAGCAAGAAAAACAGTTAGAGAGAGAGAGAGAGATGCTAAATTAAGAGG